TCTATATAAATTGCTTATCTGTTCTTGATTTAATTTTGCAAGTGATATATACAAGACACTGTCCATTTCCTTCAGATTTTTGAATTTTGTGGAGTACAGGTTTTAAAGTATGACCTGATGATTCTTTGGATTTTCTCAGTGTCCCTTGTTATGTCCCCCTTTTCATTTCTGATTTTGTTAATTTGCATGTTCACTCTCTGCCATTTGGTAAGTTTGGATAAAGGTTTGTCTATCTTGTTGACTTTCTCAAAGAACCAACTCTTTGTTACATTGATTCTTTGTATTGTTTTCCTAGTTTCTACTTTATTGATTTCAGTCCTCAATTTGATTATTTCCTTCCATCTACTCCTCCATGGTGAGTTTGCTTCTTTTTGTTCTAGAGCTTTCAGTTGTGCTGTTAATTCTCCTAATGTGACTATTCTCCAGTTTCTTCATGTGCGAACTTAGTGCTATGAACTTTCCTCTTGGCACTGATTTCAAAGTGTCCCAAAGTTTGGGTATGTTGTGTCTTCATTCTCATTGAATTCTAGGAAGTTTTTAATTTCTTTTTTATTTCTTCCTTGATCCAGAAATGATGCAATTGTGCATTATTCAATTTCCATGAGTTTGTAGGTTTTCTGCAATGTGTGTTATTGTTGAATTCTAACTTTAAAGTATGGTGGACTAATAAGATACAGGAGATTATTCCAATTTTTGTACCTATTGAGGTTTGCTATGTTATCAGTTATGTGATTGATTTTAGAGAGGGTCCCATGTGGGGCTGAGAAGAAGGTATATTCTTTTGTGTTTGGATGGAATGTTAAATAGATGTCTGTTAAACTCAATTGGGACATAACCTCTATTAGTTCCTTTGTTTCTTTGTTAAGTTTCTGTCTGGTGGTCCTGTCTAGTGGTGAGAGTGGGGTATTGAAGTCTCCCACTATAAGTGAGTGAGGTTTTATGTGTGATTTGAGTTTTAGTAATATTTCTTTTGTGAACGTGGATGCCTTTGTATTTGGGGCATAGATCTTCAGAATTGAGACTTCATCTTGATGGATTTCTCCTGTGATGGGTATGAAATGACCTCCTTTAACTCTTTTGATTGATTTTAGTTTCAAGTCTAGTTTGTAGATATTATGATTGCTACCCCACTTGTTATTTTTGGGTCCATTTGATTGGAAAATCTTTTCCCAACCCTTAACTCTGAGGTACTATCTGTCTTTGAAGCTAAGCTATGGTTCTTGTATGTAACAGAAGGATAGATTCTGCTTTTATATCCGTTCTGCTAGCCTGTGTCTTTTTATAGGTGAGTTAAGACCATTAACATTGAGGGATATTAATGGCCATTGATTGTTCATTCTTGTTTGTTTTGGATTTTTTGGTGGTGGTGTAATTGTGTGCGGATTTCCACTCCTTTTTACTTTTGGATGTTGGCAAAATGGGATTATCTATTACCTATGTTTTCGTGAGTGTAGTTAATTTCCTTGGGTTGGAGTTTTCCTTCCAGAACTTTCTGTAGGGCTGGATTAGTGGATATGTATTTTTAAATCTGGGTTTGTCCAGGAATATCTTGTTTTTATCCATCTGTAGTGATTGAAAGCTTTGCTGGGTATAGTAGTCTGGGCTGGCATCCATGATCGCATAGCGTTTTTAGAATACACATCCAGGGCCTTCTGGATTTCAGAGATTCCATGGAGAATTCAGATATAATTCTGATAGGTTTGTCTTTTATATGTTACTTGGCCATTTTCCTTAGCTGTTCTTTGTATTCTTTCTTTATTCTGTATGTTTGGGGTTTTGATTATTATGTAGTGAGGGAACTTTTTTATGGTCTACTCTATTTGGTGTTCTGTAAGCTTCTTGTACTTTCATTGGTATGTCTTTCTTTACATTGGGAAAGTTTTCTTCTATCATTTTATTGAATATGTTTTCTGTACCTTTGAGGTGTTTTTTCTTCACCTTCTTCTACACCTATTATTGTTATGTTTGGACTTTTCATGGTGTTCCATATTTCCTGCATATTTTGTATTTGGGAAATTTTGGACTAAAGATTTTCTTTGGTTGATGAATCTATTTCCCCTAGTGTATCTTCAATGCCTGAGACTCTCCCATCTCTTGTATTCTGTTGATTATGCTTGCATCTGTAGTTCCTGATCGTTTACCCAACTTTTCTATTTACAGAATTCCCTCAGTTTGTGTCTCTATTTAAGTTTTCATGTCTTGAACTGTTTGAATTTCAGTTTCCTTCATCTGCTTGATTGTTTTTTTCTTGGCTTTCCTTATGAGATTTGTTGATTTCTTGTATTTTTTTGGTTTGTTTTTTCTTCCATTTCTTTAAGGAATTTTCTCATATTCTCTTTGAGGGCTTCTATCATTTTCATGAAGTTGTTAAGGTCATTCCCTTCTGCTTCATCTGCACTGGGATGTTCAGGTCTTGCTGATGTAGAAGCCCTAGACTCTGGTGGTTTCATATTGGTTTTTCTGTTGTTGAATGTGTTTTTATATTGTCTTCTTTCCATCCCTTCTTCCAGTGGGTACAAAAGGAGTCTCTTCCTCTCCTGGTGAGTACAGGACCAAGGTTCCCTTCAGGTGGGTGCAAGCAGGTCCTATACTCTAATGGCTCTCCTCTTTTAGTGAATGGAGGTGTGACTGATACTGGGGCCTTGGCAGTCTCTTGCTATATGCATATTTGAGGAGTGTAACTGAATTGAGATTTCATTCATGAGGCACCTAGAAGGACACTATATTGAATCCATATTGCTTCTTACCATTATATTCTCTGACATCCTTTATATATTGTAAAGAACCACATGTGGGTTGGGAGTTGACAAATCTCTGCTAGCAAAACCTGTTCCACCACAATTAAGAAAAGGTAACATTGAAAGCTAATACTCCTTTAAAAATATTTATTGCAATTATGCATGTATGTCTGTGTGGGTATGGAAGAGGCAGAAGATACCCCTGAAGATAGTGTTACAGGTGGCTGTAACCTGCCTGACAAGGATGCTCAAAACAACCAGGTCCTCTGGAAGACTTCCTGCTCTTAGGCACTGAGCCATCTCTCCAGTCCCAAAACTAATGTTTTTTTTCATTTTGAAGAAGCAATATACAGATTTCACCTTCTTCATGATATTCATTACCTTGATGACTATATTTGTAATAAAATTCCTTAAAATGCGTACTCATTTCAAAGTGACAAGCTATAAATTGATATATTATACAGATTATAAAATAGCTTGATAAAGACATAAACAAGTGTATATTAAGTTGGAAGGAATGAGGTATTTTATCTGCAGCATATGTCAGAAATAAATTAAGTGGAAAGGAATAAGAGAATCGCTTCAATTCTATCTCAGAGCAATCTCAGTCCTTCATTGGTTTAAGAGGTTGGCATCTCCAAACCCTGAGGCTCAGTATCAAAGTGGGCAGGAGAACGTTGTGCAGGGTCTGGGATCCGTTTTTGTTGTTGAGAGTATGGAGTGGGGAGGACCTGGTGAAGCCAGACTCAGAAACCGCTTTTGTTTAAAAAAAACTTCAGGCTTAAACATAAACACAAATTACATACTTTTTGTGACTTGTCCCCACAGTGTGTGATGTGGGTTAGCTACTTTCTGAATTCTATGGGCAACAGATTTCTTAAAGTTCTGGGCCTGATTTAAGACCCTGACTTTGGGTCAGGGATATTTTCCCTTATCATATTTATATTGATATAAAACAAAACAACTGAAAAATCATGAGCCCAAAGATGGAGGGAGATTCTACCTAAAAGAAAACAATAGTTTCACTACTTCTCAGCCCTCTGCTAAGGTAAAAGGAAAAGAAAAGTTTTGTGCACATGTGGCTTGATTCTACTTTGTGTGGAAACACTTTTGCTTTGTTGTATTGTCCTATCTTTGAATATTCCTCTCAGTTTACTATACTAAAACACCAGTTACTTTTATAACAACAATAAAAACAAAATTTGAACAAATTTCCAATCACATGGATTTTCTTGCTTGTATGTATATGAACTGATGACCTGACTGCTCCATGGTATGGTTAAAGGGAAGATTTTTATTGTAGATACAAGAGAATGAGAACAGCCAGAGGCATCAGGAAGAGTCCAGAGCAGAGAGAGAAAATGGTAAACTAAACAAAGCTAGCAGACTAGACCTGGCCATGAGAGAACCAGGAGTGTGTGTGTGAGGGAAGGGGGAGTTCTGAGAGGGGAAGACAAAGAGCTTTTGAACAATAGAGAATGAACATAGCAGAAATAGCAAGGGTATAAGGAGAAAGAATAGTTGTGTGGAGGGAAACCCATGAGCTGGGGAAGTTTGGGGTACAGGAGGAGGTGAGAAGGGCGAGGATGTTAGCATAGATTCTGAAATGTTTAACGGGTACTTGTGATACTGAGGGATCATGGAAGCCATCATATACTTTGGTATCCTAATAGGCACCACAGATAGGCATTGTCACTTCTGTCAGTGACAAGGGATATGGCTCCTTTGGTGAGGGGGGGCTGGATTCACAAGTTCCCCAGGAATGCTGCCTTTTGTCTAACCTCCAGAATGAAGTTTCCTTTAGACCTGACAGTATATTGATACGAACAGAGATGTAGCTTTTAGTGAAACCAGAGAGATATGCAGACCTTTAAGCTGCCAGCCAATGGGCCCTTCTGTGCTTGTCTCCAGAGATACCACCTCGTGGCTCCTAGGCTGAATTCTACTGCTCTGTGAGAGTACACAGAGCAAGCAGCTTCACCTTTTTTGTTGAAAATAAGCCTGTGTCTGAACCTGGGCCTCTTGGGTGACTGAGGTTGGTTGATCTCAGCTCAAGAAATATCACCAAACCAATTACTTTCCTTCTGCTCCGGGTTCTGCAGGTTCTACACTGTATTTCCACATACATTATACCATGACCGTTGCTGTTTGTTTGTGGGGAGGGCTAACGGGAGTTTGGAGGTTCTGGAGATTACATTTAGGGCTTTCCATGGGTATTAAAGGAGAACACTTTACTACACAGCCTTTTTTTTTCAATTCCAGATCCAACAAAAGTTATGGTTCCCCCTTCCAGCATGGATGTCACTGTTGGAGAAAGCATTGTTCTTCCATGTCAGGTGACACATGATCACTCCCTGGACATTGTGTTTACTTGGTCATTTAACGGACACTTGATAGACTTTGACAAAGATGGAGACCACTTTGAAAGAGTTGGAGGGGTAAGTATCAATGTCGTACTACCCATAGGAAACAGCACACCAAAAGTTCTGTAAACTGACTGAAATTAACTTTTTTAGATTAACTTGGAAACATATGTAAAGTTGTCATTGAAGCATTTTATTTCACAGAACTCTAGGTTAATTCCTGTTCCTTTCTGGATAAATTATGAAGTAAATGATGTCTTACATATCATGCAAACAAACCTGCTGTGTGTGAAGAATGAATCTAAGGTTCCTTGGAGATATATGGAGGGCCTTTTCTCTACATCTGCTAAATGGCATGGCTGATCTGTCTTCACAGATCAGGCTCCACTCCCATATCATATGAAATGACACCAAACAGTTAATAAAGTATTTTAAATATAGTTTCCTTATGGGCTCTTATAGAAGACTCATTATCATAAAGTTGTTCTCTTGATTCTGCAAATATACTGTTATTAATCATCTCCTTGGAGTCTGAATCCAAATGCTTCAATTTTTGAAATGCCTTCTTCTTCAGTACAATATATATTATCATTGAATATGTGCCAAGACAAGGTTAAATCTAGAAAAATAAGTGTGTCTATCAGAAACTTTTCCAGCTATTGTTTTTCTGCATTATCACAGCTCTACATTGCCACTGGTGATGAGTATTCACTCTGATGACCACTTTCTGGGAAGGCCTAATCAGAAAATACCAGAGTATAAAACTGGGACTATGATTTGAAAAGTCCTTTTCTTCCTCAACTGCCATAGGAATAGGAGTTACTGATTTTTCCAGTCTTATCTCATGTGTATGTATCGCGTTAGGTGGAGTATATGCCCTAAAGTTAACAACTCCTTCCATGGGATATATTTTCCCCCTAAATGTTGTAATATTCTATCCATTATATGCATGCTTAGTTTGTTAGAGTGTGAGTTGCAGAACACCAAATGATATCTGAATGGCTGTTCTCTCAATTCTCCCAAGGATGTTATTACTTTGCATACACAGGAGAAGAGTTAATGCATTACACCAGTGGATGCCTCTATTCATTAGGAATTCTCTCCTGGAATATTGGTTGAGTAAGGCTGGATGACATTGCCATGATTAACCATGCTGAACCTCTTTCATGTAGCCCAACTTAGTGAGAGAGAATCTACTTCACTGAAGCATTGGTGATATCAAATACTTTAAAGTCTAAAAATATACTTAGCCCCATACCTATCACAAAAGAAATACTTTTAAAACTCTGATAGTCGTATACTCTGAAAGAAAAGTAATATTAATTGTAATAACAGAACAGTATACATTAAGAAAAACCCTTCATCAACTAAACTGAACAGCAGCTTTTCACTTTAAAACCAACTTTGTAGGCAAGTCAATATAAAAAGTGTGATCCCAGAGAATTTGATGAGCAGTAGTTAATTTTAATGGATTGTTTATTGATGTCTAAAAATGATCCCTGGCCAATGAGACCTAGTAGCCACTATGTATCATTTCACCTGAGATGCAGAGAGAAGCATCTTAATGGAACAAAGGACAGAGGAATACTTAGCATCCACAGAAGTGCTCTCATTCAACTGTCTGTAGTGGCATACACCTGTAAAAAAAAGGGGGGCTGAGTAGACAACTTTTGGCTATATAGTGATGTATAGCTCACCTTGATTTCAATAAAAAGACCTTGTGTAAAAGAATTAAAATTAAGACCCAAACAATTGCTTTCATTTGCTTTTCATTTGAGAAATGCTTCTCTCCTGTGCACAACTAGTTCTGTCCCCATGATCAACTACTACAAACAAAGAGAAGGAAGTAGATTAGCCACCAGTGTCACCCATGTTCATGTTAGTATGTCACGGTTGAGGAGATAAGTACATGCCATGATGAGCTCTGACCCATTTTAGTTTGTGCTTTCCGAGTCAGCATAAGAAATAATGGTGGATAGGTTCAGCCTATTTGGTTTTCTTGGAAAGTTGTTGTTTTATTGGTCTCTTGTGCCCTCCAGTGCTCTTTCAGAAAGAGAACAGAGACAAAAGCTGGAGTAGGGGTTAAATATACTGCAAATCTTTTGTACTGTTTGATAGTAGCATAAATGTAGACCATAGTAACCGTTTGATCTGGGTATTTCTAAGGAAAGAACAGCCTCACTGTGAGACGTTTACTTCATTACTTAATTTAAAACTTTTTTCAGTTTGATTTTAAAGCTATAAATTTCACTAAAATTTAAGAAGAGCTAGACACACTCTTTGTCACAACCACAAAGTTGTGAAAGTAGGTTGCTATGTGCTGAAGTAAGTTTCTTTGACGCTCATCCCCTAGTGAATAGAATGAATCACTGAGAAGGGGTAAATATTTCCTTAGTGCCAATATAATGTCCACCTTAAAATCAACATAGCTCCTGCCTTAAAATCAATATGGCTTCCATTTTAAAGTAAATATGTCATCCACTTTAAAATCAATATGGTTTCCCACCTCCTCTGCACATTTCCATTATGAGGCTTAGTTTTTATTTACATCTCTATTGAAAGCCCCAACATACAACTATTTTAGGTTCATAATACAGATTCCTATTACTTGTCAGGTACCTAATCATTTATCAATCATCTTATTATATATTAGATCCTCAATCCTCTCAGAAACTCTATGAAATAGGTTGGTAATTATTTTCCCATTTTTTTTATACTGAGATGTGATCAGTATATAGCAGAACTGGATGAGAACACCAGTGTTATAAATAAAAGAACTTTCAGATAACAAAGATCTCAACTCTTCTTGAATTAGATTTAAGGTCTTTGACATGATTGTTTCACAAAGAAAATTGATCATGGCCATCACTAAGACGAGTTTAAATTTACTCCATGCTTCATAGTCTGCGAAGGGATTTCACATAGGTATCCAGTCTCTTTTGATTCTCATGCCATGGCACAGTAGGGAAGGCATCCATCTTTGAAAGGTCAATAAGCTGAGAGGCAGACAGATTAAGAAACTTAGATGAAATCACACAGCAGGGATGGGTCCCAAACAACTAGGTCTCCAAACTACAACTCTGCCTTCAGGACATACTCTTGTATTTCTTCTAATCCTACTTACAGCAATTGGCACTTGTGACTTTTTCCTTGTCTCAGTAAATATAAGTGTGACCTGTTTTACTGAAACAAAAGAAACCAAGAGGATTTGGGACTTGTTGCTTTCTTGCTTGCTTCCTTCCTTCCTTTCTTCCTTTCTTTCTTTTGCTGGTTTTTTGTTTTGTGTTTTTGTTTTTTGAGTCAGGGTTTCTCTGTGTAAGGCTCACTGCCCTGGAATGCTGAAATCCACTATGTAGACCAAGCTGCCCTTAAATTCACAGATATCCATCTGCCTGCCACTGCCTTCTGACTGCTGGGATTTAAGGTGTGTGCCACGATAGCCTGGCTAGCATGTTGTTGTCAAATAGGGCTAATTTCTCCCCTAGAGGGGACTATATAATTATTATCACTAACAAGGGTTGGGTCTGGGAGGTGGATCAGTGGTAAATGCAGGTCTGCTGAGCACAGAGCCTAATTTCAATCCCCCAGAATTCATATGAGACATGGTGGAATATGCTTGTAATCCTAATGCCAAGGAAATAGAGATAGGCAAATCCCCTGGGTTTATTTATCAGACAGTCTCATCTACTTGGCAAGTTTTAGGCAAACAAGAGAACTTGTATCAAATAACAATGTATGCAATGCCCGAGGAATGACACCTGAAGTTATATTCTCCACATGTACCCACCACATACACAAACTAGCATATACACCAATGTATACACATGTGTACATATATACATACATATGCATACACACAGAAAATAACAGTAGTTGGAACTGTATTTTGCTACATATAGCTTATAGAAAGTTGCCTACCCTCTTTGTGTTAGAGTTTTATCATCTGTAAATAAGCTACCTGCTTCATAGACGATGTGGGAATTGAGTGTATTAACATAACTAAAGCATTTAGAAAGTTCAGGATGTATACAAATTCCTACCATGTGTCATTAATTATCAGTGCTCTTTGGAGGAATAGCAACTTCAAAGTCTCTGCCAACTTCCTGTTTTGTAGTTTGGGTTCAGAAAGAAGGAATCATTTCTAGTCTAACCCACTGCAGAGGCATGGATTCATGGGACTAGCCTCAAATATAGGTTAAATATAATTTATTTCGGCGAGTTGTCACTTACACAAAAGGCAAATGGCCACCACAGATTCCTGCCCCCAGGATCTGCACAGGCTGCTCCCTGTGACCCAACTGCACACCAGAGAGAGCCATGTGCCTAGACCTCAGACCTAATACTCACTCTCTGTCTGGTCCGCATCTGTGACCACGCTGTTGTCAGCGTTACAGGTGTGGGCAGGATAGATATCTCATTACAATTCAACTTTTAGTCTAAAGAAAAAGGTTTAGGCTTGATACAAAACTTCATATGTTCTAGGAGAAGGAAAAGTAAGAACAAACACACTTAAGACCTATTGCCAGTGAAGCAACAGAAGCAAATGGCAAGAACTACATATCCAGTCCTAGGGTAAAGGCATCACAGAGATTACTATAGAGCTGTCCTAAGATGGAAAGTTTAAGTCTTGTACCTAACATTTCTATCTAGGAAGAGAGAGTGATAATTGTGACAGTCTAATCTTCAACCTCATCAAAGACCTGAGAAGGAAGATAAACAATACTAGGGTAGGCAGGAAGTGCAGGCGAGCAACTTCCAAAAGGTGCAGTGAAGACAGAAACAGCAGGCTATCTGGAGAATCACCCAAAGTTTCACAGCAGTGTAGGGGTAACCAGCTTTGGCTAAGGCCTAGAGTATCCAAGTGACCAACACAGAAGCAGGGAGGTAGAAAGGCTGTCTTACCCTGACTTGGCAAATTTCAGCAGTCTTCTAAGGTTACCTCCTACAAGCATAGTAGGACAGCATGTCCAAAGTCAGCAGTTAAGGTGGGGACAGTTCTTTGCCCAGGAGGTCATTAGCCAAGGAGAGAATGGATTCCAGAAGGCATGACATCAGTGCTTAACATTTTCTCAGGAATAGCTTGGTGCTGTCAGGAGCAATTGTGTCTCATGGAGTACTGATATTAAAACATTTAAATGCCATATTCTGCAGGTCTGTGAAGTGTTTGAAGATCAAATATCTTTGTCTGACTAATATCATAGATAAGAAATGTGGGTGGTAATAGTTTGTAATTCTCAAAAACACAGTTATACAATGGCTAAAGCATCCCAAAATAATTTAACCAGGACAATGACTTCAATAAATGTAACTATATACATATATATATATATAATCCTCAATAATAGAGATAGAACTGAAATGTCTTGACTAGAACTACTAAGTGCAATATGATAAAATATCCTGTTATATCAATATACAAAATGTATATGCATCAAGATAGTTTTATATTTGTGTGCAAAACATCGTAAACAGAAAGAAGACCCTAAATAGTCAACATAAAATAATCTAACAATTTAAGTTATCTATAGCTAACAGTTGCTAAAGTGAGTTCACTAGAAAATATGTTAATCTACCTATATCTCATCTTAACCATACTTTTCCCATCATATCTTTAAACTTATCTAAAAGATATACCTAAGTCTGAACATCACCTTCCCTACCCAACCCTAAACAACTAAACCAACCCTATGCAGGTGAATACTATCCCTTAAAGCCAACAGTAGGGAAAAGGGGCGTTGTTTTCTTAGGATCACTTCCTGCTGAAATTGGATGATGGTAACACTGCTTTATTCTCCAAGCTTCTCAATATCCAGGCAGTAAACTCAAAGGTGGAGCAGTCTAGTGGAGTGATCACTTTGTATTTACGATAAGTCATTTTCTGGTGAGCAGTGTTGAAATGGTTGTGGGGCACACAGGCGTCCATACTCGGGTGTAATTAGTCCCATTCATCTGCTAATAAAACATGTATTTGGCATTTAGAAAACAAATTAGCACTATTCCACACTAGATGATTCAAGAGTTCCTTAGAGAGTCTGGCCTTCAAAATCCTTTAATTCAAACCTGAGAGCAATCAAAACGTTGGCTGCAAGACAGGGTTCTGCAGAAAAAATGCAGATGCCTCTAAACATAGATTTGCCTCCACTTTCCAAATATAGAATGTCAAAGTCTCAGAATGCAAGCACAGGCAATAGGCTGAAAGCATGCTGAAGGGAACATATAAGGCTCAATCAAAAACCACATTGTGTAGCTTTGAGTGATGCCAGCAGGGATAGCAGACTGATCCAGACACCTGAGCTCCTATGGAAGATAAGCTCTCTGAAAACAGTGGTGTTCTTATCTCTTAGGCTGGCTCACATAGTTTTAACAGCCATGGCTTGCATCACTAATGTTTTCATCAACCGGTATAAAATAAATCCATTAGTCATAGTGTCCTTCATGTGATAATGATATTTAGGGCTCATTAAAAAGTAATTGTAGCCACTTTCCTCTACTTTATCAGCAGGATTCAGCTGGTGATTTGATGATCCGAAACATTCAACTGAAGCATGCTGGGAAATATGTCTGCATGGTCCAAACAAGTGTGGACAAACTCACTGCTGCCGCCGACCTGATTGTAAGAGGTATTGGACTTTTATTTTTGTTTATTTATTGCTTGTTTTTTGCCCTTTCAATGTTTCTATGGTATGTACTCTACCACAGCAACGTATAACCTCAGTGGTTTTGAATTAGGTTAAAAAGGAAGGCATAAGCTAACCATTGAGCACAGTGGTTAACAGTTTATAGTTTTCCAAATATGTGCTTTTTCGTAAAAGATGGATAACCAGAAAGAGCATTGAGTAGGTATAACGTGTAGTCTTCCCACCAGTCTCCTGGGTCCTGAGCTGTCTCTTCTCCCAAATAACACACAAAACACTATATTAATTATGAAGCTGTTGGCTGTTGGCTTGGTTTCTTATTGGCTATCTCTGACTTAATTATTAACCCATAACTTCTAATCTGAGTATTTCCATATGGTCTTCTCTTACCAGAGAAAGGGTCTGGACCTCTTACTCCTCTGGCATCCTACATCGTGACTGACTGTGCCTCTGTTTCCCAGAATCCTCCTCGACTCCTAGTCCCACCTATCTTGCTTCCCTATTGGCCAACAGTGCTTTATTCATTAACCAAAGAGAGACATATACACAGAAGGGCTTCCCCCATCAAGTAGGTTCAGTTCTCCTACTGAAAAGAACTCCTATTAAAGGTCCCAATTATGACTACTGAGTTGACAGGATGCTCTAGAATAACCATAGGTTAACCAAAATAATTAATTATAAAGGCGATCCAATTTACTGTTTTGTATTCCTTCTGGACTGAACCACATTAGTGTTTTAGACTAGTGGTATAACAGAGGCCTAAGAAAACTCCGATTTTCCCAAAATGATTAGAGTTGTGTTTACCATCATGGTGGTCATGGGATCGGAGAGAATGGAGCTGAAAAATGAGGCAGACTAAAGTGTTGTGCAATAGCCAATTTTATTCAGAGCATCAGACAACATATACTCTGGGGGTTAAAAAAGTCACCTAGGGCTGGAGAGATGGATCAGAAGTTAAGAGTACTGGCTGTTCTTCCAGATGTCCTGAGCTCAAATCCCGGCACCCACATGGAGGTTCACAGCAATCCATAATGAGATCTGGTGCCCTCTTCTGGCACCAGATCTCATTATGTAGACAGAACACTGTATACAAAATAAATAAATCTTTTTTAAAAAGTCACCTAAGGGTTTCATGAGTTCAAGCTGTAAACAACCATAAGGACATGCCACATGTAGCAAAAAAATATCTTTCCATAGAGGCATGTAAATGTTTAATTGAATACCATCTGCAAGCAATAATGAGAAATCTAAAGTAAACTCACTTTTCTTGGCCAAACATGGGAGGAGCAGGAAAACATATTCCAAGAACAGTTCAGTGATTTGAAGAAACTGAGGTGGCAAGACTCTTGTTTTCTCACAAGCATTCAGAATTCTCATACAACTCCATTCCTGTACTGTGTTCTGACAAAGCTGTCCTGACTTTAAAATGTGGCTTGATAAGGAAGTGCTTGCTTGGAATGTAGCAAATAGAGAGGCACTTTGTATAGAATAAAGCCTTGGTGAGACTCTTAGCAGTACTGACAGTAACTAAGTTAAACCTTTCAGCTATGACAACTCTGAATGTGTCTCCTAGCTGAAGAAAATTCCAGTTTATAAAAGAAATTTAAGGTTTTTAAGATTTTTTCTTTTCTTAAAGAGAGGAGGTTACCTCCAAAGCAATACTGAGAAACCCTGTATCAAAAAACCAAGGAGAGAGAGAGAGAGAGAGAGAGAGAGAGAGAGAGAGAGAGAGAGAGAGAGAGAGAGAGAGAGAAGGTTGCATAGTTCAGGGTGGCTTCAAACTCACAACCTTCTTGCCTCAGTTGTTCAAATGCTTGGATTACAGATGTGTGCCACCACCTCAACCAACAGCAAAAAGAAAAGGGGGATTGTCATTTATTTCATGTGAATGGGAATTTTGTCTTCATATATCTATGTGCCATGTTTGTGCAGTACTTGTGGATGTCAAAAGAGGGTGGTAGATCCCCAGAGTTTGGCATAAGAGATGGTTGTAGGTTGCAATATGTATTCTGAGAATTAAACATGGGTATGGCAGAACAGCCAGTGTTCTTAACCACCCAGCCATCTTTAGCCCATCAAAAGAAGGGGAAAAAATTAAAAACTTTTGGAACCTATGTACCCAACAGGAGTTTTTTAAAGTCATAAACTGACAATCAGGCTGATGGTATAACTCCATGGTATAGCATTTACAGAGCATACATTGAAGCCTTGGGCTCCACACCCAACTCTGCCAAACAAATAAAAACCAACCCAGAGCATCAATATAATCTCATGCCCCCAAACTCATTCATCAGAATTCCTAAATGTTGGTAATGGGATTATTTGATCAGCCCCCTGAACCTAAAATGCAAACCCTGGATCAGATTTGGAGTCAGGGTCAATCTGAACACACAGGAAATGAGATCTTTTGGGAATCAATCCCAAGTATTTCTGTATACCCCAGACAGATGTGAGGGGAAATGCAGAGCAATTAGCAACTCAATTGTCAAGAAAGGTTAAAGAAAAAAAAATGCATTCCCATTATGATTGCTTTAGTCACTTGACAATTGTCTAAAAAGAACATAAGTCATGCAGTAAAGAAAGGTTATATTAAAAAATTAAAATTATATTCTCAAGTTTGGTATATCTGCCTGCCCATAGAGTAACCTACAGAAATGTGTTTGTTTAGCTTTTAGAAACACACCAGAGCTGATCTGCTCTCCCCTTAGGGACAAAAGAATTCTGTTGCTGGTAATTTATCCTCTATTTAATTAGGATAATGTTCAGATCAGCAGTTTAAAAACCAATAAATTAGACTAATAAATATTTAAATCAGTAGAATTTGAAGTTCTTAAATGATATTGTATACTTCATTTCACAGAAAATAGCATTGGATACCAAGAGGAATTTGCAAACACAATCTAAAAGAAAGTCTAGCCTAATCGGTTAATAAGGCCAATAAATTAATATGACATTTAAAACCACAATCTTTCATTTTATCTCCTCTTGCTCTGTCATTGCATCTTTTATGCACATTGCAGTGGGGAGATGGAAACGCATTTTGCTACTCTGTAAAAGTTTTCCCTTTAATTCCCTGAAACTTTAATCATCGACTTTACTTACTCTGCAACCATCTTGTGGCCACTAGCAGGGCCTCCCTTCCCTGAGCAAAAAGCAGACACCAACATCAAGATAGCTGTCCTTGCCTTGTGACAAAAACATGCTACAGTTTGTTCAGTGGACTTTTTTTTTAAAGGAAGTTCAGTTTGGCTAAAACGAAGTCAACACTAAAACGAAGTCAACACTTCCCAAGAGCACAGCCATGCACTGGTGGGTTTAGGTGACAGGAAGATAAAGAGTAAGAGAAACCACACCCAGAGGCAGGTCCATGTCTCCCCTTCGTTTTCTCCCTACACAGCAGCCACAAAGGGGTTCAGATACTTGTTACTGATTCAATTCTTGGAGCTGTTAAAAGGGAAAACTTTTCTATGTGTGGTAGATTCTAAAGACTCTCCAACAACATTCATAAAAGAAAAGGGTGGAAATACAAGGAGGAGAAAGCCGCCAGACACAAAGGAGCATACACTGTCTTCTGGATTTTACCTGCTTATTAGGAGTAAAAGACCAGAGGTTACCTTAGCTCTGTCTAGGTGGCATTAGACTGCCATGCTGAAATGTCACCATGGAAAATTAAACAGCTCCAGCATACACATTTGCAGACATTTCATTCGGGAGTGGGGGGAAAGAAGATACATTTAGACTTACCTGTGAGTCTATAAAAGTGATTTTTTTAAAGAAGCAAAGAGTATACAGAGTTTTTCATAAAGGTGAAGGAGTGAAATTTCAGAAGAAACTCTTGCTTTGGGAATTTCCATGAACTTTTCACTACTCCATAAGAGGTCCCCTTTTTACCTTGTCCCTGTGACACATCCCGGTAGTCTTTTGAGAACATCTTTGATTGCTAAACTGGAGATCAGAAAACACCTCTGGGGAACCTCTCCTTATCTGTCTAACAAGTATGAGGGTTGTCACCATGTCCTCTCATCATCCCCTTTTATTCCAGGGTGATGTTTAAGCTACATTTAAAAAATGCATTTAACTGCCTGGCCATAGCTTCTAATACTGGCAAGTAGCAAAGTTCTGGGTCTTTGCCTGCATTGATGTTTCACATCTTAATTGTTTTCTGTCCCTCTCTGTATGATCTCAAGACCTTCACCTAAATATGACTTCTTCCCCTTTCAATGGTTTAAGTACATGGAAGTAGGGAAGCTATACCCATCAGGCAAATAAGTAGAAAATTTAGGTATGACTTGTAGAAACTTTTCCAGAGGGACATTAGACTCCAGCCCCATTTTGGAAATTCTCTGAAGAAGAGGAGAGACAATCTTATAACTTGAGAACTGACCATTTTCACTGTGGTCCCTCTGCCTGAAAGCTAATGCAGCAGCTAGATGCAGTTAGGATGGCAGATAGTACGCCAGCATTCTCTCCTAACATCAAGACATTCCATTATAACACTTTGTTTGCCTATTTGTGGTTTTCCCCTATATTCTGCGAACCCCTAAAAGGAAGGGGCATGTGTCAGTTCTTTGCTATAATTTCAAAGTTGAGTGGAGCTCTTGTTACCCAGAAGATTTTCCAGAAACAGTGATGGAGTGTATATTTAGGCAGTTAAATAAATGATTGAGCAACTCAGTACCCTATTCAAGTGAGTAGATTATTATACTTGGACATTTGAGTATGCTGTCCAATTCTGAATGCCTTGCTCTCTTCCAGGTCCTCCAGGTCCTCCAGAGGCTGTAACCATAGATGAAATCACAGACACCACTGCTCAGCTTTCTTGGAGACCTGGACCTGACAACCACAGCCCCATCACCATGTACGTCATCCAAGCTAGGACTCCATTCTCCGTGGGCTGGCAAGCAGTCAGTACAGGTACCATATTGCATGCTGAGGTCGGATGAGGCTTCTATAATGAAGTCTGAATGAAATATGGAAGAGGCCAGGAAACATCTAGGTCAACATAGAGGCAAATGATACCCAGACATGTGCCAACTCTACTTTCTTTAATGTTTTCCTCCACACTAACTTACATTATTGTTGCTAAACCTAATATGGAATTATTTGCTATGCTGTTATGTGTATTTTTATTTTCTTAACAAGCTTGAAACTATTTATAAAAATAAAATGCACTGATCTATATATTACCTAAAATGACCTCTGTACCACTGGGTTCCATATTGGAAAAGTAATGGAAAATGCAAGCCTACAATCAGTGTTTGCAAAGTTCATGCACAGTTGTCAAGAATATAATATCTAAGTACTCTGTAGAGTCTTTTGTCTTGCTGCCTCCACTTGTACATATATTAATTTGGAGATGAAGAGGCATGGAAATGTTTTAATCAGTTTCACAAATTCTAGTCTGTGCTTTCTTTTCCTTTTGCAGCTTCTGTATTAGGCTCTTTGTCTTTGTGAAGAATAAGAAGGGTAAAGATTTATTTTGATCCATGGTTTTAGTCGAAGATTGGCTTGCTTCAATGCTTGGGGCTGGAAGGTGGGTAAAACCCCTTGGTTGTGGGACCATGGTATCTGGAAACCTCATGGTGTCTGAGAAACAGAGACATGAATCACATAAGGACAGGATGCTCTTCAAAGGTATATCCCCCGTGACATACCACCTCCAGCTAGATCTGCCTTCTAAGGCTTTGTCACTTCCCAAACTAGTGCCAGTATCCTAGCCAAGCTTTTATCATGTGTTGCCTTTGCAGGGAGATTTCCAGCTCAAACCATAACACTATTGTTACCATCAGTAGCAGTCCACCATTATTATAGTGAAGTGATGGGGAAGTCCTTCTGTGTATGTGCTTATCTTATTGGTTGTTGAATAAAGCACTGTTGGCCAAAAGGGAAGCAAGATAGGTGGAACTAGTTGTTGAGGAGGATTCTGGGAAAGAGACACACAGAGTCACCATGTAGGATACGGGAAAAGTAACATGCCTGGACCTTCTTCCGGTAAAAGACATGGAAATATTTAGATTAGCAATTATGGGTTAAATACTTTAGCCAGAGCTAGCCAGTAAGAAACCAAGCAAATGACCAACAGCTTCATAATTAATATAGTGCCTTGTGTGTTATTTGGGGGTTCAGACAGCTAAGCAGGGTGCAGGCAGCTGGCAGGGAAGGTAATACATTACAGTGAAGTAATTCTCACACTCTCTTTGTTACATGAATTCACTCAAATCAGATGCCAGTTGCTGATACCATAAAACACCAAGTCTTCAAAGGTCAAAGCTATTTTACTATATTATTCACACTTCACATGTTTTCTACATGTGCTATGTAATGCCAGGCCTGTATCTAATCCTTATAGCTATTCTAACAGTAAAACAAAATTATTTTATTCACACTAAAAGTTTGTTACTGTGCCTCTTTAACAGAAGAGGTAAATGAAGTTCTATGGAGATCTGTTGATTATCAGAGTGAAGACAATGATTCATTTTTCTTATCTTTCTTCTTAAAACATCTCTTTGAATACACAGAAAGTCAATGTTTACAGCCAGAAAACCATTTATGAGGTGTGATAAACTAAAGGGATGAGGTGGGAGGGTGAATGTGATCAAAATAGACTATATGGAATTCTCAAAAAATTAATACAAATATAATATTGTAAAAATTAGATAAATAACAACATGATTATATAAATAACATAAAATTGAGCCTAACATTTATTTCTGCTTTAAGACATCAAAGCAGCATAGTCATCCCTTAGAACTAAAGGAGTATGTATCCTGCTTTGCAGTAACTCTTATTTGTCTAATTTCTTCCTCAAATGTCATCTCAGTGGGAAAAAATGAAATAATGATAGGAGTTGAGATTGGAAAAGGATTGAAACCTAAGAGAAATGACAAAAAATTACAAAAAGAAAATATGGCATTTATTAATAAGAATGAGTGAAAAATGATAAAAAGTGTTGTTACTACTCATAGTAACAACAGTGTTACATGGTTTGCACTTGGAATCCCCCTCCAAGGGTCATGATAAAAGCTTGGTCCTAGGATACTGGCACTAGTTTGGGAAGTGACAAAGCCTTAGGAGACAGGTCTAGCTGGAGGTGGTATGTCACTGGGGGTATGCCTTTGAAGAGCTTCCTTTCCTTATCTGCTTCCTGTCTGTTTCTCAGACACCATGAGGTTTCCAGCTCTGAGATACTATGGTCCCACCACCAAGATATTCTACCTGCCTTCAAGCCCCAAGCATTGAAGCTAGCCAACCTTTGACTAAAATCATGAATCAAAATAAATCCTTATCTCTCTTAAACTGTTTCTCCCAAGTATTTGTCACAATGACAAAAGAGCCTAATGCAGAAGCAAAAATAAAAAAAGAAGGAAGGAAGGAAGGAAGAAAGGGGAAAGGAAAGGAAAAGAAAAGAAATCACGGTCTAGAATTTGTGATATAGATGTAAAATATGTTCATACCTCTTCATCATCATCCCAGCAAACTAACTACAATGCCTTCCCTGGAAGTCGTGGTGGTGATGGTGGTGATGATGATAGATGTTCCTAAAATCATCTCCATGTCTTTGTGGAGCTGAGTGGATTCTCTTAAGCCTTCTCACCCACCTTTTATTATCTTTCAGTTCCAGAACTTGTTGATGGGAAGACCTTCACAGCAACTGTGGTGGGTTTGAACCCCTGGGTTGAATATGAGTTCCGCACCGTTGCAGCTAATGTGATTGGCATTGGGGAGCCCAGCCGGCCCTCAGAGAAACGGAGAACAGAAGAGGCTCGTGAGTACCACTCACACTACACAGAGTCTGTTCTGGCAACTCGCATTCCTTAAGGAGAAACCTTGACTTTTTCCTGTGCATTAGCTTCAGTGAGCTCTACATGACCACACTTTCTCCCTTAAGGGGTCCTAATGATCAGTAGAATCTCAGTCTTGTGAGTAGTAAGCTTGAATCAAGTTCTAAGTCATCTACTGAGTCCACTGTGTAGCAAGAAACAATATAGTACCTCTGCTTAATTCTTTCAGCACTCAACTCTCTTTTGGTTCATACACAAATGGTCTGAGAACATTTGCTCAGAAATCTTTGCTATGATTTTCTTCAGACATGATCCATTGCTACAAGTGAAGAGGAGAATATACTGCATATATCTTGCATGATGAACACAGGATAAAAATAATGTACACCCAGCTGGGTCAGATTATACTCTTGTAAACTGGGAGATCCTGATGATATCTAGAGTTCCAAGCCATAGCAATAACAAATGATTTGTAAAGGCAGAACAAGATCCTAAGCAGACCAACAGTTTCACGTTATTCTAAAAATTGATGACAAAAAAAATCCATCTGGGTATGGTATCATTGGCTTTAAGGTGATATACTGAGTTACTAGCTGCAGGCCCCAGTTAGCTATTGAAAGAGTCTGCCTGGCATCCTTCATTTATATGATAGCATAACTAATCCTGTGATTTCTTTTCCCATCTCCAAAACTATAACTCAATTCTACCCTACAACCCTGAGAAGGAAGTGAGTCTTATTTCCCCTCTTTTACAGAGAAAACTGGGGATGAGAGAGGTTAAGCACAGTGAGCCAGGGGTCAACCTATGTCCACCACTTCCTTCAACACCCAGCTCAAAGCTCACCTTCTTCTGAGAAGCCATTAGCCCAGTGCTCCGCTGAGCAACCTGCTACTCCAGAACACAACTGCTCTTCTCCATTCTGTCTGCGACATCATTGGGTGTTGTCCAAGTTTCTCTGTGATATTTTGCATGTGTTCTCAACCTCCCAGTAGATTGTAAGCTCCACGTGGGCACAGTTTGTCCTGTCTTTCCTTTGTTGTCACCACATGGTTAATAAATGTCTAACCAAGCTTGAGGACAGATTATTCAGTTGTTTCTGTCTCTGTGGAACTCTTAGGTCTTTAGGTACAGGGCCAAACAAGTGGTCAGTAGTGACTGCTAACATGAATACTCTGTTGATCCAGAAACAGGTAACTAATAGCAATTTCCTTGGGACATTTTGCTTCTTCCAACCAGTACAGTGTTGCTTCTGTGGATGTTATTTCTGATATCCAAAAGACAAAGGACATGTGCCCAAGAATTCCCTCACAGTGAGTCACCCAATCTGGGCAACTGTCCTGACTCACAATTACTATCAGTGCCTGAAATAACTTGGTTTCTTTTTTGTCTCCTACAGTCCCTGAAGTCACCCCAGCTAACGTCAGTGGTGGTGGAGGCAGCAAATCTGAACTGGTTATAACCTGGGAGGTAAATCTATCTCAGGACCAAAGGGACAAGCTTTTGTCTGGGTTGTTAAGAAGCCAGGAATGGTCCCCTTGTATTTTCAGGAAATCTGTTAATGTCTATCAGGAAGTGAAGGTGCTTGGCCACCCATTGTTTGAAGCAAGTTTTAATTTGACTCTTCACAGGGGGGAAAAATCATGAAAGAGGAGATAACACAAGTTAAAAAAAAATAAGGAAGTCTGGTTCAGAGAAAGCCAGTCTTTTTTTCTTTCTGAATTGCTGCATGGCCAATTGATTTAAAACATCTGCCAGCTATAGATTGAGTGTCCCAGAACAATTTCCTAGCAGTTGGCTTTGCTGCTGGGATGTGAGGTATTTCTTTAAACAACCTAGAGGAAGGTTAGTCACCAATTTATTAAAAATTGATTTTGAAAGAGGAGGAGGGAGCCTCCAAAGAGGTTTGAAATGTGTTTCAAAGATTTTAGACAATGTCCCCTTAAGTAAAAAGCCTTTAATTCACCCAGAACCTCAGGAGGGAAAGAAAAGAAATCTCTCCCTCCCTCCCAACTGAGCTCAAAGTCTCTCCCAGGGGCAAGATCTCCTCTGTGCAGAGATGGCCTCCTTCTGTGACTTCTTTTGTCTATCTGGCACTGAAGGAAAAAAATATTATTAGACGGTACATGGTAGAAGGGATATTTTTTAAGAAATCAACTGTGTGGTAAATTGGCCATCATTTGTAGTGGTTTTCAGAGTTGAGTCCACCTCACCAGAGCCCAACTCTCAACTGTAGATTTTTGTTTCATTTTTCAAGGCTGGTGTTGCTCTAGTACCACATGAACATCTTAGGCAGGTTAAAGGACATCTCTATGTTTAAAAGATTGTTGAGGGGGCTGGAAAGATGGCTCAGTAGTTAATAACAGTTTGCTCTTCCAGAAGTTCTGAGTTCAATTCCCAGCAACCACATGGTGACTCACAACCATCTATAATGAGATCTGGTGCCCATTTCTCCCATGAAGTTGTGTATGCAGATAGAGCACTCATATACATAAAACAAGTAAATCTCTAAAAAAAGATTATTGAAAATAAAGCCCAAAATAAGGTGAAGGGGTGCATACGCTTTGATAATGAATCAGTTGAGGCAAGAACTGGGGAGTGACTTTCAATGGTTGAGTCAATTAGGGGAGTTTAATAAGTGAATCTAACTACTATGCTTCCTGAATACCACTTCCCTTCCTTCCCCAGACAGTCCCTGAGGAATTACAGAATGGCAGAGGCTTTGGTTATGTGGTAGCCTTCCGCCCACATGGCAAAATGATCTGGATGCTGACGGTGCTGGCTTCAGCTGATGCCTCCAGATACGTGTTCAGGAATGAGAGTGTGCGCCCATTCTCTCCCTTTGAGGTTAAAGTGGGTGTCTTCAATAACAAAGGAGAAGGCCCCTTCAGTCCCACCACGTTGGTGTATTCTGCTGAAGAAGGTATGGTTCATACTCCTTCAACTCTCAAATGGTGTTCCATTCAGGATGTATGATCAACTTAGAGTGTAAAATAGATATAAATCAAAAGCATATCTTAATTAGAAACAGGTATACTGTAAAAACATTTGATTTTACACACACAAACACAGCAACTCTACTTTGTGTATACACACCAGTATCCCAGGAGAGGAGAGACTGAGGCAGGTTAGCCAGCCTGAGGCCAGTCTGGGATACATAGTTAAACCTGTCTCTGAAATGAAGAACTCAATTATGACTCTATCATACATGAAAGCGCATGGCTCTCCATCAATGGACTGAATTGCTAAGGACAAAACCAACTTGCAAATGCCCTGCCCTGTGTTATCTTCAGATCATATTTTTCTGTGTCTATTAGCTATTTACTGATAAACAATACCATGTACCACCTATCTGTTATCATTCTTTTTAAAGAACCTAATTTTATGCTTTCCAGTGTATATGAGTTGGAATGTTTCATTCTGTCTCATCACTTATGTTTTTAAGCCATTTGCCCTGTCTCTGACTTCTTAGGAGAGAGAAGCATGAAGCAGCTTGGGTGCTTGCATTGCCATTCACACTGTCATGATATTCAAGGGTCCTCACACATTGTTAGTTCTCTGGGGAGGTCCTTGCCCTCAGAATGCCTCTCACATAGTCCTTGTTGTTTTAAAGATGAGATTCAGAATTTAGTCATATGACAACACCTGAAAGTCGACACATTTGTTTGGCTTCAGAAAAGAAACAACACATTTGTTCCTTTCTGCAAAGAAATAATTCCCATAGAGGCGGCAGTCTCCCATGGTCTCTCCCCTGCCTCTTTGCCAGCTCTCACAGCTTTCCAGCTTCTTATTACATACCACAACCACATGCTAAAGACTAGAAACTACCCAGACCCAATCTTCAGTCTCCTTGCACGCGCTTCAGCATCTCTTGCTTGTAAATCCCCACTCCTTCTTCTGGCCTCACTTTGAACAACCAAGGTTTCTGTGATTCCCTAGGTCTGCAATGTGGAGTAAGTTTTCGTTTATGCCTTGTTTCTTGAGTATCATTTATAGCCATAATATTTGTAGCATCTTCATGTTTCTCTACTATAATATTCATGACAACATATTTAAAATTTTGTTGTATTCCTCATGTATCAAGTGACATTTAAAAAATTCTGAGTTAGCATATAGGGGGGATCTTATATTGTTATGTGTAAATAGAGATCCCCATGTCCAATATTTCCTGGAGTGTGCATATAGAAAGGAGTATACAAACTGGCATTAATTTATACCAGATGGATTCTTTGGTTTTAGCAGGAATTTATTATAGCATATTGGGGTGGGGGTGCTTAAGAGAATGAGGATAGCACTACCCAAGGTAACATTTGTGAATGTTATTATTCAAGTCATGGCTGAATTAGGTTTTTCAGTAAGGACAGTATTGAAAGAAGAGTTGCATATACAAGTGGTGTACAGCTCTTGCAAAAGTCTGATAAAAACAGCTAGAATTTGAAAAACTGGTGGTACAGTCTGTCGTTTGCATTCTAGGATACTGAACCCCAGAAACTATCAATGACTTGCCTAGGATTTTAAAGATTGCCATGTAGAACTAAACCACCACCCAGCTTCCTTGAATTGTAATCAATTCAGTTAACTGCCCTTGTTTCTCTCTTGTTTTCATAATCGAGCAACTGGGACTCTTACTTAACTTAATTAAGAAAGATCTACTTGAAAGAATTGCTGACCATGAAAACTTGTTGCTAAACTTTGTCTTGGGTTACTTTAGTTCCACTTACCTATAGAGGAGACATTTGTAAGATTTCAGAAGTGTTTCTTTCCTAAGTGTCCCCCCGCACATGGTAATTGCTTATTTTGGGGAGATGTTGTATGTATCCCAGGTATTAAGAACAGCCCCATGACCATGGCTTCTTTCTGCCTTCTAAGCCCATTTATAGAAGCTTGGTAGTAACTTTCAGAATCCATTTGCAGAACCAACCAAGCCACCAGCCAGTATCTTTGCCAGGAGTCTTTCTGCCACAGATATTGAAGTTTTCTGGGCCTCCCCCATTGGGAAGAATAGAGGAAGGATTCAAGGCTATGAGGTAAGCTGGAGACATTTGCATTTGTTGTATTTCTCGGGGCGATCTCTAAGACATATTCACTGATGGGAGAAGACCCATGCCACCCTACATAGGTCTCTGTTCTAGAGGCCTGGTTCAACCACACCATTAATAGAAGCACCAAAGATCTACTGTGAGACAAGACTACCCTTTATCTATGTTTATGCTTGTTATAATATTTTATTTTCATGTATGTATATGTATGTGTCCGTAAACCTAAATATTTACAATACAGTTGGCAGAATAAGCTTAAATATGATATCCCCATAGGTATAGAGAAATGGCTTCTGAAGCCAATAGTGTTCATTGCTCTTAGAAAGCATCTGCGTTCAGTTTTCAGTATCCATGTTGGGCAACTAAACAACTGCCTATAAGTGAAGACTCAGGGGATTTGATGCCCTCCTCTGGCCTCTGTTGGTACCAACATTCACATGTACATACACCCACAAACACCCACACCCACCCACCCACACACCCACACACACACACACACACACAGTTTTAAAAAAATAAAATTAAATCTTTTAAAAGAATTTTTTTTCAGTCTTACATACCCAGCATCACCTAGGCTCAAACTAAAGGTGGGAAAATTAAAGAGAAATATCCATTGATGATTCACCAGACTGTCCACATCAATGGAAAAATAAGAAGAAAAAAGAAAATTTTCTTATTGTGGATAATTTTGAAGATCATGTGAATCTCCTTACTCTGAAATCTTTGTCCATAAATTAGTATAGAAATTTAACTCCATCATAAGGACTTGCACAAAAATATTATTACCTGATGACATTGGTAATATCCCCAGTGGATATGATTTCCAAGATCTTTCTTTTTATTTTTCAGGTAAAATATTGGAGACATGATGACAAAGAAGAAAATGCTAGAAAAATACGAACAGTTGGAAATCAGACATCTACAAAAATCACTAACCTAAAAGGAAGTGCACTGTATCACTTAGCTGTCAAGGCATATAATTCAGCTGGGACAGGACCCTCCAGTGCGACAGTCAATGTCACGACCAGAAAACCACGTAAGGGCAAAGTTGCTCCGAAATATTTTGGGGATTCATCAAACATACTCCAAGTTCATTACCTATCCCCACCTCCCAGGGATCATTTGCATACTAATTGGTATCATTATATGGATTCAAAGGCTCCTTAGCATTTTAACTGAACCTTTCAGAATACCATGCCAAATTCATTGCTCCAGAGGACAGAAAGATAAATGTTTTTCTCCTCACTGGGAAAGACTACTTCTTTTAGCTATAAATGGTAGGCGACCAACTGAATCTTTTTCCATTTGCAATGCTGTATCTCGTCAGATTTCAGTGACCTTGAAGACACATATTAGTTCAATCGCCCATTAAATTGCCTCTACTCTAGAATCCTAGTAAGGAGACATGCCTCAGAATCCATTGAGATTTAATAATCTGTGACTTCGTCTATCTTAATTTTTTTTATAGCACCAAGCCAACCCCCTGGAAACATCATATGGAATTCTTCGGACTCCAAAATTATCCTGAACTGGGATGAAGTGAAGGCCCTGGATAATGAGTCAGAAGTAAAAGGATACAAAGTGGGTAATTCCTTTTTGCAAGCATACCTAATGCTGCCAGTGGCAGGGAGTCTGGCTCCCAGCAGATCCTCCATTTTCTCCCTCTCCCCTGAAGTCACTCCTCTGGCCTTTTCAGGAATCTCTACCCTAAAGCGATTGGTCTAAATTTTATATGTGCTCTGTGTTAATTTTCCAGAATTTAGACCATCATCTGGGTGAATCAGTTTTTCAAATAACTGAGCTAATGAGCTTGGAAAAGAGAAGAAAGGTTTAATTTGTTTCACCCTTGTGGTTTCAAGGATGGTTAACGGTTGCTTTTGGACCTCTAGCAAGGCAATATATCATGGCAGGGAGATGCAGTAGATGGTGGCCAGGAAGAAAAAAGAGAGAACAAAAGAGACTGGGATTCCATTCTGCAGTCCCCTGCAAGAGCAGTCACAAAGTCCACCCCTTGTAGGTTCCAGCATCTCCCAGTAACACCACAGACAGAAGACCATGCCCTTAACATATGGACCCCACTGGGGAACACTTACACCACTTAAAACTCTATGAGAACTTTAGTTATGTTTATACAACCTAGATCAGAAATGGTTAAAGACCCTGTGACTAGGACTCTACAAAATCCCAAGAAAATAGCCCTTAACTTTATCATTATCTCACTCCATGTGTGTGTATGTGTGTGTGTGTGTGTGTTTAATCAACAATAATAACTGTCTGTCATTCTTATTTCTAATCTTCTTCCTTCTCTTCCTCCTCCTCCACTTCCTCCTCCTCCTCCTCCTTCTTTTTCCATTTTTTGAGACAGGATTTCTCTGTATAATTTTGAAGCCTCTCTCTTGGCACTCACTCTGTAGACCAGGCTAGCCTCAAACATGGAGATCCAGCTGCCTGTGGCTCCCATGTGTACACCCACTGCCCAGGACTTTTCTTCATTTTTTATGTAAAGGAGAAGACTGGAAAAGTACACCAAATCTAAAAAATCGTATTTTCTTCTTTTGCTATTTTAAATTTTTACTTATTTTACATACCAGCCACAGTTTCCCATCCCTCTTCTCCTCCCAATCCCTCCCCACCTCCCTCCTACCCCTTCCCCCATCCACTCCTCAAAAAGGGTCAGGCCTTGAATGGAAGTCAACAAAGCATGGCACATCAAGTTGAAGCATCCTCCCCACTGCATCAAGGCTGAGTGGAGTATCCCACCATAGGGATTAGGTTCCAAAAGGCCAGTTCATAGGGACCCCACAAGCAAACCAAGCCACACAACTGTCACACACATGCAAAGTGCCTAGCTCAGTCCCATGAAGGCTCACATCTGTAGGTCTAGAGTCCCTTAGCTCCCACAAGCTCAGATCAGCTGTCTCTGTGGGTTTCCCCTCATGATCTTGACCCCCCTTGTTCATTTGATCTCTCTTCCCTGTCTTCAGCTGAACTCCAGGAGCTCAGTCCAGTGCTTGACTGTAGATCTCTGCATCTGCTTCCATCAGTTACTGGATGAAGATTCTATGATGACAGTTAGACATTCTGAATCTGAATGTAGGAGAAGGCCAGTTCAGGCACCCTCTTCCACTATTGCTAGGTGTGTTAGCTGGGGCTATCCTTGTGGATTTCTGGAAATTTCTATGGTACCAGATTTCTCCCTAACCCCATAATGGCCCCCTTTATCAAGATATCTCATTGATTGCCCTCTCTCTCCATCCCTCTCCCAATTTGGCCATTCCAATACCTGTTCTTCTTTCTATAGATAGCGTTCTCTGTAAGAAAATGGATTGAAAATGTTGTTTGCCAGATCATGTAAATGCTGGCCTGTCTTCAAAGAGAAAATGAACACACACACACACACACACACACACACACACACACACACACACACACACACAGCCAAAAGATGGCGTTTTATCTAGTGGAGCTGGACTTTCAAATGGTTCTGATCTGCCTGACATGGAAGTGAACTCAAGTCCTCTATAAGAGAAGTACAGACTCATGATGGCTAAGCTCTCTCTCAAGCCTATGACTAAATTTATACTTCCCATTGTCACCTGAAGTTGGGCTAAAACAATTGTGTTTAATTTTTACTATTTTCACAGGCTTCGTTTGGCCAAAATACAGAGTGTCTGTGGTTAGAATCCCTGATAGAGCTCACACATGGGTGGCTTTCTCACCTGGCATGGCTTTGTAAAAGCTGGAGAGTGGCCAGAGATTATTTACTACATGGACTCTGCCGATGGGGAACTCTGGCTTTCTTCCAGTGTGGCCATCTCAGGGTAGCTGGACTTCTGATGAGGCCTTTAGCTTCAGTGGGAGAGAGAGTGGAAGCCACATGTCTTTTTAAAGCTAAGGATAAAAGTAGCTACTGTAAGGCCAGCCCAGATTCAAAGGGGTGAGGGCAGGGAACATGGGTGCCAGCAATAATGCATCATTCTGATGTGAAGGGCCTGTGGGCAAGGAGTAGCAGGGTTGGCTGTGTCCAAATGTGAAGGCCAGATGACACACTGAGCAGACCGTGACCAGGGCCCAGTCCCAACCTCTGTGAGGGTGAAAGAAGGAACTGAAGATTTTTAGCTGGAAGAAGAACAAAGTTCTTGGAAGCATAATAATTAAAATATCTAGAGACTTAAATAATAAGGAATAGAATTCTCCATTTTATAAGACTCCAGAAAATGTTGATGTCCAAGCCCTTCTCCTTGAGGAAATTTCAATATCATAATCTTGATTTTATAATCTTCCTTAAGTAATAAAAACAGTGAGGGGGTATTAAAGTGGACTTGCAAAGTTACAAGGAAAGTCAGTTTTTCCTTTTGAATGATTATTGTAAAATCACTAGCAGTGGAGAGCATGTCCACACAGCATAGTGACGATAGTTTATCAAAAGCTTTGCACAAAGTCACTCACTAGGAGTCTAGTCAGGATGCAAAATGCCCTTAACTTAAATGCCACATTAAATTTCCTTCCCTGGCATCTCAGTGCACAGTGGTGTAGCGAAAGCCTGCTTACCCTCAGCAGTGGTGTAAAGTCCATTTTCCCTTGGAGCTAAGTCCCTTCTTGAACAGCTTTGGCTCCTGTAAAGTACGACTGAGCCAAAATTTGCCTTCCCAGAAGAGTTCTGTTATTCTCCATATAGGATTTTGGAAAACTATTTTTATTTCTATAGAAATAGAATAAAATATGAGAATAAATTAAAACTAGGACACTTAGTTCTCTTTCCGATTCAAATATCAGCTCAAATGAGGTCGTCTTTTATGGCATTAGCCATGTCATTTGCATCTTTTGAAGTTAAGCTGTGAGAATATAGGGTAGTCCCGCTGTGGCAGGAGGGTACATGTGAGAGGTATCACCCACAGATGGAGTCAGGTGTACACAATGCTATGGAAACACGTAGCAGAGGTGGAAGAAAGACAGGGTGGCAAGGAGAAACCTTCCTAATACTATGACCCTTTAATATAGTTAGTACCTTATGTTGTGGTGACCCCAACCATAACAGTATTTCATAACTATAATTTTGCTATTGTCATGAATCATAATAGAAATGTATGATATGTAGGATATCTGATGTGTGATCCCTGAGAAACACTGAGACGAGAGTGTGTGGAATGAACGAACCATGAGAACTATAAAGAGGATGAGTATCTGGGGGGAGTGAAGGGCCTCAACATTAGCATGGTCTTTAGATTTATAACAGGTATTTATGATAGTAAGGGAACATGGAGGCCAGTATGGGCTTTGATATGCTGATAGGTGCCACAAGTAACCATGTGCCCCTTCTACCAGAATAAAGGAAAATGACTCCTTTTGGAAGAATTCCTGAGGAATTCTGGATTTTATCTAACCTCTAGAAATCCTTCTAAAGTCCAGCTTGAGATCATTTATGGATTTATGGACATCCTGCGACCTAAAATCAGATTTAAAGAAATAATATCTGGTCTCGGACTGGCAAAATAAGCTGCCCACATAAATAAGCGAATGAAGCTAACTGAGCCCATTGGACAAACCCTCTAGAAATCTGTCCAAGTTTCTTAACCATCTTACCTTCAATAACCCCTTAAAGAAGAAATTTCTAGGGTCTACTATGTCTATTAACCCTAACTTAAAAGACACAGAAATGTGCTAAAATAACATCTCTGGAATATCCAAACTTGGAATCTGAGCACGCAGTATGGAACCTGCCCCTGCCCCTTGGCCTCTTGTTTATTTTGACTAGCAGCAATCAATCAGCAGACACAGCAGATGGAAATAAAGCATTACAAAGAAAAAGGCATGAGGGTGAGGAGACCAGAGAGAGTCAGGGGACAAACAGGAAAGATGTGCCATTTTATGTATTGGCCAAGGAAAGCCACGTCAAGGGTTATATCTTAACTGAGCTTTCAAAGAAAGGAGGAAATGAGACAGGCAGCCTTCTGGCAAAGTGTGTGGGCAGAGGCATGAAGGCGCAGCGGTGGATCTGTGTCAGTGTAACAGAGTGTGAAGTATTGGTGACGATAGCAATAGACTTTCTGGCTGTCCAGAGGGCAGTGGCTTTTTAGCTCCAGTTGTTGCCAACGAGAAGTATAGACCAGTGTCTTTGTCTGTGTGTGTGCTACTGTAAGAAAATAACTGAGGCTTGTTAGTTTATCATGAACAGAAACATATTTCTTGAAGGTGGGAGTTTCAACATAGAAGTGTTGACTTACAACAGTCTTCTTTTTCTGTCATTATAAAACAGGAGACAAAAGGCTGAGACACACCAAAAAGGGACAGGATTCCTACAACAGCACCAGTCCCGGGTGGGGCTCTCACAGTCCAGATACATCATTACTGAGTCTAATCACCTCTTAAATGTTCCATTTATTTTTTTTTTGAGACAATGTCTAACTCTGTAGTCAAAGTTGACCTGTAACTCACTATGTAGCTAAGGGGCCTAAACTCACAATAATCCTACTGCCTGAGCATCCTAAATAATAGGACTGTAAGCATAAGCCCCCATGTTCCACCTCTTTAAATTGTTACAGTAGAAATTAATTTTTAGCAGAAATTTTAGAGCAAATAAACACCCAAAACACAGCAACTGTGATGGTCATATCTTTCAACGGTAATGATAAACCTTCATGCATAATTTCTTAGTTCATAAAGGTTGGCATTTAAAAAAAAAATCAGACACTAACATGGCCAAAACAAATAATATATGTCAGCAGCACATGATCCTCAGGCTACATGTTCTCTCATTTTAGTTTTTCCATTTTATTTATTTATTGGTGTGTGTGTGCATGGTATGTGTGGCAGTCAGGAAACAACTTTCAGTAGTTAATTCTCTCCTTCACCATGTGAATCCTGGATATCTAATCAAGGCTCCTTTACTTGCAGAGGCATTTGCTCTCCTATGCCTCCACTGTTTTTTCGTTTGTTTGTTGTTTTTTTTATTTTCCAAGACAGGGTTTCTCTGTTTTGTTCCCTCCACAGTTTTTTAAGTTCACTGTCTAATCCCCTTTGTTCCCACATATGAAGACAGAGATGGAAGGGAAAGCAATTTGAACTACAGATGAGGGCCAAATTGATAAGAGTAATCCAGGCTCTGGAGTTGTAGTGCTTAGGTTTAAACATGGGATCAATCACTTACTTGTCATGGGACCGCAGGCAATTGTCTACTATCTCCAGGTCTCAGGTTGCCATCTCTGAGGTCAAAATAGTAACTAAGCATAGCTCGGGAGATGATCTCCGTAAACCTTTACAAGCAGAAGTGTTCTAACACCAGAGAAGCAAAAGTGTCAGCTGTTATCATTATTCCCAGGATCCTCTCTTTCTCCCTGCCTGCATTATATCAGATACAAGCACAGCCTTCATGCCAATCAGCTGTATCAAGTGCTAGGTGTAAATGAAACTTAAGCTGGCCTTTATTTAGGTTCCACAGCAGTCTCCACTATTACAAGACTGATAAGCAGGACTGATTTGGAAAAAAAAAAGAAAAAGAAAAAAAAAAGTCTGCTTTCTCGAGGGAATGTTTCTTTTGGATTTATACTTGAAACCAGTTGGATTCTGTGAGCTCTTGCAAAGACCAGAAGTAAATCAAAGAAGCAATTTGTTCCTCTGAGCCAGATGTGACCTTGCATCCCATCAGTCAGCCCATTCTCCTGAAGGGCTGGGATGAGAAGCTGGTGGCTGAGGATTTATTGGTGCTTGGTCATTTGCAAAGGGATGCCAAGCCTGGCACAGCCGATGCTTCAGAGTGGGGAAGGGGAGGGCTTGTGAATCTCTTCACCTTAAGGAAATTGTGTTTTCCACCTTGTATTAGTGGGCCATAAATTAAGGTGATAAAATGCCAAGGAACAAATGGGATCTTAACTATGTTAAGGAAATCTTATGAATTTCACTTCTGTTTGCTTCTGTCTTGCAATAGAAGACTGGCCTCAGTAGATCAATATTTTTAGGGGTCTCATGGATACACAAGCTAGTCCTGTGGTCGTCAGACTACCATCCTTGGTCTAGTAACATTGGTATAGGTGGAGAACTTAGCAGAATGAAAAGTTCAGGACTCAGTCCTGACCTCAGCAGCCAGAAAACCTAGGGAAGGGCTGAAGAAATGATACTTTAAGTATCTTGTCTGGTGATTCTGAGACAGGGCAAAATTGTATTCTATTCCCCTCCACCTCTGCTGAGAAGTACAGATTTAGAGTACCAGCAAGTATCCCAAAACACCCAAGGCTGAGGACCACTGGTGCCATCCAGCTCCATCTTTTTTATCCTGTGGGAAGCTGGAGAAGGTAGACTGTTTTGACTTATGATTTAGGGATCAGCTTCCTGACACTTCTCCATGGTGTGAGGACCCTGGGCCTCAGTGTCCTCATTTGTGAAAGGGCATAAGCATACCTGCATTGTGGGATTGTAGTGACAATGACAAGTTACCTACAAGAGTCAGAACCTACAGGATAGTTGTCCTCATGATTGTTTCCGGGGGCACAATGGCAGGTACATGTTTTTATTCCTTTATAGTTTGTTCCCTACTAGGTTGAGGTCCATCAGAGACTCAAGTGAGTGTGTTGTCAGTATACGTAGCCAGCCACCTCATCAGATAAATTACAGTCCAAACTCAGCATCTAAGAGGCCCAGGAAGGGAAACAAAGGTGCATGAGTAGAACTATTCAGAACCACCACACTCCCAGACTCTCACTGATTGCCTCTTCTACATGACCCTTAAAAGGTGTCCCAGTGGGAGGGAAAGGGGAGAGCTCACTACTCTTGCCATTCAGAAACATCTATGTGTTTGGAAATGTCCTCTTTCAAGAAGTTTCAAGGTGTCTCTTGTGATGGGAACTCCTACTGTGTGTGCTCATCTTATTTCACTTACGTCTGCATAGATATACTTTATTCTTTCCAAAATAATAGTTTTATTGATTATTTGGGAATTTCCCATCATGCATCCCAATCACACCTCCCACGCCTCCCAGGTCCACCCTTCCCTCCCTCCCTACCAACGTCCCTCCCTCACAACCTCCCTCCCCCCAAAACAGAAGAAAATAAAAGCAAGTCCAATTTGTGTTGCCTGTAAACTAACCGACATATGTCTAATGCATCCTTTGAACCCAGATCTTACTGCATTCAGTCTTTATGAAATCTTGAAAAGTGGCTGTTTTGCCCCCATTTTACAGTGGAGGGAAATGACATTCAGTGAGGTGAGGTAGATGACTCATGGTCACACAGAGCCAGATCTATTCTGATTCCAACACTGTATCACCGACTCTGCATGCTTCCTCAGACTTCTATATTTCAATGTCAGTTAGCTTACCCACCTGAAAGAGTAGCCACACGTGCTGCTCTCCTTTCCCTCTTGAAGTAGCCTTTCAACTCTTCCCTCCATGGCATGGTAGCAAAAGACATGACCCTCACCATAGATTAACCTTCTCTGTGTGAGCAGGCTGTCAGAGCACTTCCATAACCTTGCGTTAAGCTGGTACCTAGAGATAGACAGGAACAAAACCACATCTTTGGGCATTAGTTAGAGCAGCAAATGACACCTGCTCTTTCTACATGGGCAGGTCTTGTACAGATGGAACAGGCAAAGCAGCACGTCTGTCATTGAAACAAACAAAACATCAGTGGAGCTTTCTTTACCCTTCGATGAAGATTACATCATAGAGATTAAGCCATTCAGCGACGGAGGAGACGGCAGCAGCAGTGAGCAAATCCGAATCCCAAAGATAACAAGTAAGAATGCTTTTCTCACCTTTTCCTCCTCCCTATTGTGCCACTGTCCCAGATGACCCAAGGATTCAAAGAAATTGAGCTTGAAAAGAAAGAGTTGTAATTAAGATGAATGACGGGAGCCTCCATCCTCTCATCACTGGTGTTTTCTGATTGCAAGAAACTTCATGCAAAACAAAACAAAACAAAAACCTTTGCCCAGTTTTCATGGATTTAGTCAGTGACGAATGTAGATAGTATGTGAAGGCTGTCCCACATAAGTCACAGAGGGCTGTTTCATATTGATTCATTTAGCTCACAAACACATAGTCTCCAAATTATCGCTCCCAAAGCTAACGAACAATGAAGTTAGGAAGAATACACAAAAAGGTTTTGTTGTTGTCTTGTTGTTCTTTTAGACAGGGTCTCACTATGTAGAATGACTGGTCTGGAACTTGCAGTATAAACCAGGCTGGCCTTGAACTCACTGAGATCCAATTGCCTCTGCCTCCTCAGTGCTGGGATGAAAGGAATTGAAAATATACAACACCATCTCCTGCCAAAAACTTCTTAAGGCTATGGTATTTTATGCCCAGAGAACTGGTATAATTCAGTCTTGAGTTGGCAACGTTTAGACGTTAACATGATACATTTTTATTGAGTATATGTAATCTACATGCAAAACACATATGGCTATATATATAGCTAATTTTCTCGATTTAAAATGTTGTTAAATAGTATGTGAAAGTAGTCCTTTTGAGGAAATGCATTCTATTCTGTTTTTAAGTATCATGTTTATGAATATCTCAACAGCCTGCTAATTTTTGTATGGCTTTATTTATTTAAAAAAAGGAAATTCATAAGAGTAAAAAGAATCAGAATAATGATTGGTAGCAGATGGTGAGTGGGGGATGGCTGTTTAATGACTATTTGTGTACTATTTAGCATTATTTTTAAAAGTATCTAGAAAGAGTTGTGCTGGTTACATCTGAAAATACTGCCAATGGATTGTACTCTTTTGTCTTTGTTTTAGCAGGCAGGGTCTTACAAAGTAGCCCTGGTTGGCTTGGGCCTGGATATGTAGAGGAAGCCGTCTACCAACTTGTAGAAATCCTTCTGTCTCTACTTCCTAAGTACCAGGATTATAACAACCCAAACTACCTGAGTTGTGTTCTTTGGCTTACATGGTCCCTTTGTTTATGGAGTATTTTATAATGATAAAGGAAAGATTAGATAGACATCCAGGCTGCCATTAGATAGATATCAAGGAACATAATTTTTTGGCATTTGGATTTGAGGTCTGGATATTAGGGGATCAATTCAAGCTGGAATTAAACTTTCAAACTATCAAGAGAAAGATGATATTTTAAACCAAGGTGATATCCTCAACACCGAGACTCTAATTTTAGTACTGAACTAAGTCTCTGCTAGGTGTCCATCATTTCATTTTTCAGATGAAGAAAGGGCTATTTTGTCTTACAGATAGGAAATGATAGCAAAACAGCCATGAAGCAATTTTCATGGCTTCTGTTAAATTTCTCAGTTCAGAAGAGTACAGAGCTCCCTGGTCATTTCACCCATTTTCTGTGTTGCCTTTAATTTAGGAAGGCTTCAATAGGTACTTGTCTTGTTCAAGAACAGTATGGGGTGCACTGGGAAACTGAGGCCAAAGGCCTTGCCCCAGAAATAGAGTTTATACTTATACAAACATATATATGTGTGTGTGTATAATATATATAGCTAATATATTTTGTATGGTTAACATAATGTATAATATGTATATATGGTTAATGGACTTGAATGCCATTGAACTATACTTTTTGTTTGTTTTGTGGGTTTTTTATTTTTGTTTCTTTGGGGGGTTCCTCACTAAGTAGTACCTTGACTGGTCTGGAACTAGCTATATAGATGAACTAGCTATCACCAAACAAGGGCTCTGACTTCCTCTGAGAGGGAGCAAGCTATACAGCAAAGCTGTGTAACTAATCTCCAGATCACAACAACACACAGTTGGGATTTACTTACCTCACTCTGCTTAAATCTTACTATAAACTTCTTACCATTGCAAAGATCTTCCTTTTCCTCACCTGTGCTTCCTGATCTTATTCATTTCAGGAACATAAATAGTGTTGGATAGTGGCGTTCTGAGTGCTAGCCGAGAATGTATTCCCTTAAAGAGATGTCCATCCTGTCAGTTAGGGAGATCAGGCTGCCTTAAAGGAACCCAGACTGACAATGAGAAAGATTTTATTATGAAAAATGTGCAACCCATATGAAAAAGTTTGTCTAAAATGTGATTATTTTGTCTTAGCAAAAGCGATATACTCAGACAAACATGGTTTTGATTCCCAATCCAGCCACTCACTTGCTAGCACTCCTAGACAAGTTAGTTACCTCATCTTTTGGGAATCCAGTCTCCTTATCTGACGAATGAAACACTGACAATATCTGGTCCAGAGAGCGGGCTGTAAAAGTGAGTGTCACAGTGTCTGCATGGCACAGAGGTGGAATTTCAAAGGGAGTATCAGTTACATCACGGACATATTGACCTGTATCAGACATATTGCTAGTAATATTGAAATATTTACCACAGCGAATATGGATACCTTCAATTTATTTTTAAAAAATCTAAAAAGTATCTGTAGGCTATTCCCTAACTTGTTCCCAGCCCACAGAAAGGTCATCATGGAACTAATGTTAATAAATCATTGAGAGGAAACCGTGTAGACAGCTGGAAAGAAAACTCCATCAATAAAGTGCTTGCCTTGCAAACCAGAAGATTTAAATATGAACTCTAGCCTCTATTTAAAAAGCAAGCTAGATAAGATAGATACAGCCACACACCCTTGTAATCCTAGCACGAGGGAGGTAGAAACAGGAAGATCCCTTGATGAATTCCAAGCCAGTAAGAAACCCGACCTTGAGAAAGCAAGGTGGATGGCATCCTTCTTAAGGAGTCGACAGAGTCCCTCCACATGCATTCATACACGTATGGACACGTACCTGAGCAGACAAGTGTTTCTGCACATGCATACATACACATTAAAAATAAAAGGAATAGCTAGATGATGCACAAGCAGACAGTGTGGTTCTTGGAGAAGCCAGCCCTGGAGCACCTCTTTCCTGTGTGCACAGGATGGGACCCTTTCAAATGGATTTGTTCTCTCTTTGCAGATTCCTATGCAAGAGGATCTGGGGCTTCTACCTCCAACGCGTGTACGCTGTCAGCCATCAGCACAATAATGATCTCCCTCACAGCCAGGTCTAGTTTATGACAAAAGTTATCTAAAGGACTTGCTATTTATAATATAAGCAACATTTAGCTAGTTGTTTTGAAGACACCCAGTACTAAGTAATATCGTTGTTCAAGTACATCTTATTACTGGAAAAAAATGTTTTTTGCTTCGTTAGGAATGGCATTATACAGTACTTTCTCAAAGCAAATCTAGCTTTGTCTGAAGTTTCTTTGGAAACTCTGCAATGCACTGAAGACATCTGTAATATGATGTTACCAAAGCAGTTTACATATGTCCTTATATGCATATTTTTTATTATATATTTAGTGTTTTATAGAATTTTTTAAAGTTAACATATAATGTAGATATTGGTTTTTTTTCCTCTGCTGTAAAATGCTCTGGGCAACACAACCACACAATTATGATTTGAGATGATTTCCTTTAAGGACAGAGTTTGAAACTCATCTCAGTAAATGAATTACAAATGACTTGTACAGTTTTACAAGGATCTAGTGACAAAACAGCTGGAGACTTGGTCTGTAACTCAAGGTTGCTGTATATAAATTATTCCTTGAATGGTTAATGCATTGAATTGAGTCCCTTTGACATATGTGATATGTTTTCCCACCCTGTTGTGAATTTTGTTGTTCAACACAACTTGAGATGGTTTCAGGAACTACAAATCTCAAAAGCTACTCTTCCCAGTCCAAGAGGCACCTTGTGCAATCCTCCCATCCCTGAACTTAGTTAGCATCGTCTGGTAAGACTTTATTTGAGCATCGTCTTTGTAGTAGCATCATCTTAGGCACTGAATTTGAAGTTACATATCCTGTAGTAACATAGACAAAAAGTTACTATAGTCAAACAGGTCTTTCATGGCATAAAAGGTAATTTTACTCTTTAGACATATCTGTTTTGAATGTAAATTTTTTAATGAATAATTCTGTCAATGAGTTTATAATTTCAAATTTTCTTATAGATAACATGAGTAACTGTAATGATAGAGTCCTTCTTTTGAATGACAATAACATATGTAATTTGAAAAAAATTTCCTATTTCAGCAAATAGCTGCTGCAAAGAATTTTACATATGAATCTATAAATTTTCAGTAGTACAAACGTATTGTATCTCGATGTCTCCCCTGTTTTGCAGTAGCTAGTCTGGTTGCTTCTAAGCTTTACATAAATCTTAAAGTCATACAATGAAAGATGGCAATATTGACAAAACCTTATTCTTATGAACAACTCTTTGCTATAATGGGGGATGTTTTGTAAGCTGACAAGGGAAGAATATAGAAGGCAATGAGATTTTTATATGAAACTTTTCACGTTCAAACACAGAGTCACCTCTTTCTTCTTTCTTGGAGAGCTCATGATTGCCTGTAACTTGTCGTTTTTGCTTACACATACCATAGCTTTTCAACCTTCTAATTATATTCATCCAGTAAAGTCATCATCCGGATTCCATTTGTGTGAAAATTAGGATGGTAACAGGGAAAATATTGTCAGTATTTCAGCTGCGTTCCTTCTTTAATTTGATATGCTTTACTTCTATGTTAAAATATGATTTAAAAGTCACATGCAAAAAATCAACATAATAATAAAATGAATGAAAAAAGCCTGATATCCCAGGTACTTCCCAACCCCAGTGTAAATGATATCTATCAGTGATCTAGAATATGTAATCTTTTTTAAAGTATTGTTAATAAATATTCTGTCATTTGTAAAGATATCTGCCTTCTGGGAGCATTATTCCTGCCTGCCTGTCAGGCAATTTGATAGCTTATCTTTGTGCTAGTTACAACTGGGACCACAGGGAAACCCAAAAGTCTCTAGCTCTGACCCCAAAGCTAGGTGACCCAATTCCAGTGGTGACTTTGGAACTGACAACCCTGAAGACAGCCTTTCAAATCCTCCTTAGAAGCAAAGAGGATCAAAATCAAGTAACCAATGTCTTGAAGCAGACTAGAATTTTTTTTTCTTGGCTAGCCAAGATTTTGCCAATTTGATCTAAGTGTGTCTGTTGTTTCCCTACCCAAAAAAATCTTAAAATCTATATATAAACTAAGCACGTAAGGCCCTTCTTAGTCTAAATCTCTTACCCCTATACCCATCCACACTGAGCCCTGCTTGCTTTTGGTCTCACCTCTGTGCCTTTTGGTCTCATGGCTGTTCCTCCTTGAAATGTTCCCTTCTCTCCCGCCGAAAAAGCAACTGTCTTGGGGCACCTCCAACCCTCCAGCTCATCTGTGAGATCTTCCCACATGCCTGTCCTTGTGATGTCCTTCCTCTGAATTTGCTGCAACCCTTCCCTTCATTCGGTATTTCATAAGGTACTACTTTTGGAAATCTCTTGTACTGTTACCTTGCATTTGAACCTAACTCCTGTATTGTTACCAGACTTTTCCTTATATGTATGCCTTGTCTTCCCAACTAGATTGTAAGCTCCTCGAGGGCAGGGACATTGGTCTTCTCTTCCATGTACTCTCCATAGTGCCTAGCACAGTGCCTTGCAATAAATACTCATTGATGAATTGATTGAAGGGGTCTTTGAAGTAGCATTTTGCATCAGTTGTCGGCCTGTGTGCTATATAGCAAACCAAGCAGGAAGGACTACTTTGGTGATGTTCTGGGAAGGACCAGTGGCTTCTAGTATTGCACTTTGATGAACTTTTTTCATCTCTCAGCTTTATCATCTGATGTTGATGCACTGAGTTAGCTGAGGCCAACTGGACTGAAGAGTTGGGCAAGCACCACTGTCACCAAAATTTGTTGACTTCTGTGGTTATTATGGGTAGGGGCCACTGTTTGAGAGCAACAAAAACAACTCTCCTAACTGAACCAAACAGGAAGGAACTAATTACCATCTCATTGGGTCATCGCAGGAGCTCAGGGATTACCAGAGGTGCAACTCTTGATGAGTGCATGCACCCAGCAGGTCTTTTGCTGGATGGTTTGAAGGATAAATTGATTATGTTTGGGGGTTTGATGTCATTCTTCTCAGTGTGCTCCTCACTTCTGGAAGTATCCTGTCACTGTGGATCATACAATCTGATTGTCCTGCTCATACCGATGCTCACACCGAGCCTTCACTCACAGGGACAGTGTATTAACCCAAGAGCTGAATGAAGTTTTTAAAAGGTGAGAAAATAGCTGTTGGGAGGCTCTAAACAGCAGACTTTCAATATATAGCCCAAGAAGGGAATGTCCCAAGCACTAAGTCCCAACCTTTCCACCAGGTGGGGTGTGTCACTTCTGGAGGCCTATTCCCAAGGGAGGAACACTAAGCAAATTCGTTTTGTTTAATCTTTTCATGTCCTTTTGTGTGTCACATTTCACTGTAAAAAAGGATGTTCTATCCTGACAGGTAATTGGATTCCATCAGGGTAACTAGCTTTTACTGAGCTAACGAGTCTTCTACACAAAACAGTGTTTTTTGCTGTGGCTGGAAGAGTAGGCAAAAACTTTGACTCTCAGGTAAGCACTCAATTCTTCCAGCCAATGATGTAGGAGCTGCCATAAGCTTTTATCGTGAAACAGAATGATTTCCTGGCTACCCTTTTCCAAACTTTTTACCTCCCCTGCCTTGATGCCAACATGATCAAGGAGCATTGCCTATACAAACAGTCCATAATTAACTATTAAATGCCATGGGTTTATATAGTATCAATTAACACCGGTTCTTTTTGTTTGTTTTTTGGGGGGATTTTTTAATACTAGATTGTCATCTTCTCCCTCCATTTCACATTCAAGGCTTGATTGCATTTTTCTGTTTTTAAAATTAGTACTGGATTCTCACTGAGAATGTGGTCAACCATATTGACTTGAAATACAGGCTCTTAAAATTAAGGATTTCTAGTCAAACTGGGGACATACAAATATTATTTCTTCACAAAATGCCAGTCTCTAGGTCTTCACAAAGGCAGCCTAAGGAAAAGATGAATGATATATCTATCAGTTTGGGGTGCATTCTTACAAATGCCCTGTCTTACTTTGGATAATTTATAAGATGTTCTAGATGCACAACTCTCCAAACATTAGTGATTACTTTTATAAATTAACTATTGCACTTGTACAGGGACATGACAAAATCTGCAACATTTAATCACCTTACTACAATGAGAAGAATATAAGTTAACATTGAATATCAATATCGATGTTTGCATAAAATAAGGTAGACAGTAGGTTCTTCATTCAGATGTCCAGTTTTCCACAAAAATCACCTTCAGTTTCCCCACATTATACTTAACTGTCCTTTTTCCCCCAGGGCATATTATCAATGCCTGTTTCTGACACTATCCCTCTGCATCTGGTATTTAAATCATTTGTCAGTGGAGGGGCATTATCAGTTGCTATTTCATGTGACTTCCAAGCCTCTGTCACACTATGATCACTCTGCGCAAGGCAGGCTGCCCAGTGTGTGAGCAGACCCCTTTGACTCTTGTGCTAAATGGGCCATGCAGATTAAATGTCTAAATTCCACAATTCAAGTGTAAATGTGCAGCACTCGGCAGAGTTCACAGTTCAAACAAAACTGGCCTCTGTTCTTTATCCTCATGGTTGTGGTCAGATAGAGACTAACAGAGCTTTAATAAAACTGGTCGCACAGACAAAAACCTTTAAAAAAAATAAAAGGTCAACCACATGATAGATCTGAAAGGCTAGAAACTACAAGGCTGAGGTATTTAATATGGATGTGATTAAACATGATGCTCCCTGTCTATGTCAACTGGCTCCTCTTTATACATTCCTTCCACTTTTTAGGAATAACATAAGTTGTGTGTAAATATAAATATGCCATAGTGAAAAATTAGTACAATATTTAATCCTTTGTTGTTGCTGTTGTTTTGAGATCAGGTCTTTCTACATGGTCATGACTGTGCTAGTACTCACTATATAGACCACACCGACCTCGAACTCACTGATATCCACCTGCCTCTGCCTCCCAGGTGTGCCACCACACCCAGTTGATACTTAATTTTTATGGTTCTCAAAATGTTCTTTATGCTAAGAAGAAAGAGGCACAAGTTTCTACCATTTTCATTAATGAAATGTATGCAAATAGGACTACCAGGAGCCCAAAGTGACACGGACCATTAAAAAGCCAGAGTGAGTCAAGGCCAGGAATTCAGATGATTCTGGCATTGCTTTAGGGTCCCTTCCAAACACCAGATTTCTATATCCCAGTATAGAAGAAAGATACATAAATGACTGATGGATGTATAGACAGGTGAGAGATAGATTACAGACAGAAAGTCAAGCAGGCAGATAGACAAGTGATAGATTAGTGTCATAATAACAAGAAGAAGGGGAGGAAGTAAGTAGATAATAGATAGGTGATAGATATAAGATAGATAGATAGATAGATAGATAGATAGATAGATAGATAGATAGAGGATATATTAGTTTCTAAAATGCAACAGGAAGATAAGGTATTAAATAGTGAGTCTTTAGGAGATTTCGTGTTAGTCTTGAATTGACCAGGACTGGGATGAGCTCCCAAGTACACAATTCCTGCAGAAAATCCATGTGGATTTTGTGTGATTTTTTTTAACTCCAAAGAGGTCAAACAGGTATGCTTAGCTTTCTTCTATTGAAAACTGTGTTTTTCACTTCCGTTTGTAACACCAGCCTTTCACTCTTAAGCTATCATAGCAGTACTGCAAATTCAGGGTACCAGGTAAAATACAAGAGGCCTGGTCAAACTTGGATTTCAGAGAAAATAAATGAATGACCTTCTTTTTAAGCATAAGTATGTTACATGCAATATTTATTTGAAATACACATGTGATTGATCTTCCCTGTACATGCTAAGTCTTGCAGGGAAAAAGAGCCAACGACCCATATGAAGTCACTAATTTTCATTTCAAATTTCCAGGGGCTTTCCAGTGTCTGAAATTGATGGCTCTGTGGTGGAAGCACAGAGGCTTGCTAATTGGAGCACTGTTTTGTTGACCTGTCTCTTTCCTTGGATGATGCATGTGTGCTTACTTGCAGGCATGCATGCATGCATGCATGCATACATCCATGTGTGAGTGCCCTGCATCGTGAGGACCAGAACTGTTGGATAAGGTTCCTCCAAAAGAATATTAAGATAAAGGCATCTCTCCAAAGCAAAATTATAAAGCAAAGAGGTAAGAAGGGAGAAGAGAAAATCCCAGAAATATTTTAAAGAGTTATACAAACGATCTTGCCAAGAATATAAGCCATAGAGCTAGTTGGGAAATAAAGATTTATCAATCTTTAGGACAAACTATCTGAAAACAAATACCTATCGATTTTATTGAGAATAACTGTCCTTATTATTGAACAGTCAGCAGGTAAGAACTGAGTGTTGTGTTGAAAGTGAAGGCATGGAGATAAAAAAGACAGACTTCTCTCCTCATTAAGTTTAGTGGAGAATATCAAAGAATGCACATATTTGAAATGTGGCACAAAGGTGTAGACGTATAAAAAATAGGAATGAAAGTCCTGCACCTGTGTGTTCATGTGAAACCAATTTGTATCATGGTTAAGTATAAGGGAACAACCAAGGTTTTAACCAACAGAACTCAAAATAAAAAAAAATTTTATTGGATAAAACATTCTCAAACTGGTTGTGTTCCAAACAAACTGAAGAGGAACAGAACTCTTGAGGTAACATGTCAGGGGTTCATTCAGCTTTGTACAGTAAAAATGTTAGCCCACCTATGAAGCCCAGCCCACCGGTCCACTTTCTGCAAGTAAATATGATGACATAACCACACCCGTGTACACCTTGTGTTATGTCAGAGAAATGAAACCGCAACCCAGACCCCTGCGTCCTCGGAGTGGGAATGCTTCCACTCCGCTTAGTTGCCTGTAAGATGCGGTACTGCTTTGTTGTTTTCTTCACTCTCTTCTCCTCTTCCTCCTCCCCCAGATTGTTGCATTTTTATCACCTGGCAGGGACCAACATCTGCTTTTAATTTGAAAAACAGAAGTGAACTTAACATGCTTTCAAGTTGAAAAACAAAAGCACATTAGAATTTCAACTTAACACACCTGGGCAACTTTATGGTCCTGATGCATGTGCTAATTACCAAAGGACTAGTGAAGCTGGGGGAAGAGACCAGTGTGCAGGTGCTTGCTTCTCCCGGTTCCAGAGCTTGAGTGCTCCAAGTGCATACATGGAGTGGTGCCAGCAGCTGGCTGTCTGCAGATCAAGAGAGTGATGTCAACTATGAATGCTTACTACATTGTTTCGTGGTTGTTTTCTTTCTGGTATAATCACACAGTTTTTAATGTGTGAGTCTGAATCAGGGTTCTAAGTACCTGTTGAATGTTTCTGTCTCTTTAGTCTTGCTCAGCTCAACAATCACTCAGTTCCTACTGGGGCCTGTGTAAATAACGGTACATAAGAAATTGCTCTTGACCTCAGGGTATTTACACAATAAATAAGAAGCAAGCAGTTGAATGGTGTAAGAATTACACAGAAGGCATCTGGCAAACATGCAGGGAAATGTCCATCAGGCAAGAAACTGGAGATGTCAATGTGGGAAAGGGCTAAATCTTAGAAGATGCAGGGTTGACAAGAAGGAAAAAAGAATCAGAAGGCCTTTCAACTGGAGAAAAACTTAAGCAGGCACAAATGGAAGGGAAAGACAGCTTAATGCTTACAGACCAGACTAGACATTGGATTTTACACAATTTTACTGGAGCACTACACAGATGCCAGGGCAGCTCTTGATAGGATGAACTTTGTTTTAGTGAAACATCCTTTAGATTTTTGGACAGAGTGATACAGAAAGATATGCCTTCAAGAGAAAGGAAATCCTGGAGGTCAGAAATTCAGTTCAGAGGTTCCTGCAAATCAGGTGAAGGGTGGTTAAAAAAAGTAGTGGGAACAGAGAAGGAGGGGGAATTAAGAATAGACCTCTCTTGATTATGTACACTTAAACAAGTCAATGTCATTTATGTCAAAGGGTTCCCATCTTGAACCACATTTACACTCACAGCTACTCCCCAACGCAGAGTAATGCTGAAGGAAGAAAGAAATTGTCGTCTCACTCAATACGAAACTCTAAAGAAAGCATTTTGAAAAAGTTTATGTCCTTTTCTGTGTATGGGACATGAAAGTTCCATAGCTTTTGTCACCAAGATCCCTAGGGTGATACCATGTCCTGTTTCAGTCAGGCTCGTCATCTTTCCCCGGGCCATCAAAGGTTGTTTATTAGCTCTCCTTTCTCACCAGCAGTCTGCTTTGTCTTTAACAAATTAGCACCTACAGTTTATGAATTCCACCAACAGATGGCCCGGACACATACAAGTCTCACCTCAAAAATGGTTGGATTTTTAATCAGGTTGTTCTTTGCCCAAGTGGCTTCTTCCCCAGCCAGCATGAATGGCTTGAAGCATGAGGAATATCAATGAGACACAGGTGCTTGAGCTGTTGCAGGCATGTTTCATCTCCCAGTCTCCTCACACTCCCCTTAAACCACTTACCGTGAATTCCAAGTACCAAGAAAAGAGGTTGGAATAAACTCTTCATTGTAAAGGATGTCTTGCAGAGCTACTCTTTATCCATATGCTGCGATCTAGGGGGTGGGTCTCTGTCCTATGCTGGTGGCAATCAGTACCATGACCTCACCTTTCATCAACCACAGGGTGTCTCCCAGCTACTCCCAATTGTGTTCCTACTGGATACCTGTGTTTCTGTCTATGGCATTATAGGTCTTGATAACCTCTGCTAAATAGAGTTCAGTTTTAAATATATATGAAAGTACTGTGCCAGGGCTAAGAGAACACTATCTTGCTCATTAACCATATTTATATTTTTTAATGTCATGAGTGTTTTGGAACATATGTTGACCACTTGCATGCTAGTGCCCACTGAAGCCATAAGTGGAGGTCAGATCCTGTGGGAAAGGTGTTTCAGATGGTTGTGAGTCGCCATGTGAGTGCTGAGAATCAAATCCAGATACTCTGGAGGTGCAGCCAGCGCTCTTAACCTCTGGGTCATCTCTACAGCCCTGGCACCACATGTAATTCTTAAGGTTTAGTTACTGTCCTAGACCCTGCAAATAAAAAGATGCATCTCCTATGCAGAAGGTTACTGCTCCTGGGACATATGGTCAAACACATTAGACTCACAATGAGACTCCAGAGGCATGCTTTACCAACTGTTTTTGAAGCCTTCCTAGAAAAGATAATGTTGGCTATGGGTTCCTAAAGAATTATTGTCACAATACAAGCATCAGGGACAGTAAGCCTACACCATGCTGACAGTGCCACATGAACTACTTTGCATTGCTTCTTATACATGCACCAAGATTAGATGTTAGCACAAGCCCAGGGATGGGGGCAGGAGATCTGTGAAACCTAGAGGGTTGCAGGCTGCTAGGTCTAGGGAAGGATCCCTGAAATGAGAACTACACACACACACACACACACACACACACACACACACACACACACACACACACACACGAAAAATAAACAACTGGCCTTATATGAGGGCAACTCCCTCCTAGGAAAAGGTAGGTTTCCAAAATGGTGTCTCTAGGCTTCCCTTGCAAATGAGAGGCAGAGAATTCTTGGGCTTAGTTGTTCTCATCCATTATTCTTTAATTGGGTAGCATTCAATTTACATGTTGATAATAATTTATCAAAGTGGTATGCAGGCCAGTAGCATGAGCCTTTCTTGACAATTGCTGATCATGCAAACTCTTGACTGTCCACCCAAGACCAATCAATGCCCATTATAGAGATTCTTTAGAACTATTTTTCATAGATTCTTGGTCAGATAGCTATCAAATAAACATTTCTCAATTATACCAACACTCCCATGGAACTCAACTTCCTGGTCTGACCCCTAAAGCAAACCTCAGCTTTCCTTTTTACTTATTATTTGTGTATTTTATGTATGTTAGTCTGTCTTCATCTATAATGGAAGAAGCAATCTGATCCCACTACAGATGGTTGTGAGTCACCATGTGGTTGCTGGGAATTGAACACAGAAGTCTGAAAGAATACTCAAGTGCCTTTAACCACTGAGTCATCTCTCTAGCCCCCAACTTCAGCTTTTTTTTTTCCGAGACAGGGTTTCTCTGTATTGTTTTGGAGCCTGTCCTGGATCTTGCTAGGTAGACCAGGCTTGGTCTCAAACTCACAGAGATCCACAGCTTTTTTTCTTTAATAATTATTTATTTATTATGTATTCAGTGTTCTGCCCAGGCCAGAAGAGGGCAAGAGGTCACATTACAGATGGTTGTGAGCTACCATGTGGTTGCTAGGAATTGAACTCAGGACCTCTGGAAGAGCAGACAGCACTGTTAACCTTTGAGCCATCTCTCCAGCCCCCAACTTCAGCTTTTATGTGCTAGTCTCCTCTGTGTTACAGAGGTCTGCTAAGTCTGATATTCAGCTCTTTACTGTGCCCTTTCCTGGCTAGTGACCTTTCTCATCCCCACATCCTGCATCTTTAACATGGGGATTGTAATATGTATAACTGTGACACAGTGCAGACTTGTAAAGACCAGAGAGACAGTGAAGAAATTTGCTATAGTACTGTGACCTTCAGAGAAGGTCCGATATTGGCAGATGTCCATGGCTGCTTTACCTTCTATTCTGAGCACAGAACAGAAAAGCCATGTAAGAAGTATTTGGTACTCCTTGTACACCTCACCCAGAGTATCAAAACTGACTAAATCAGCTCTATAAAGTATATAAAAGTGGGCCATGATATAGATTTTAAGCACCGTCATCTCCTTCCATTGTCTTAAGCTCCTTGCCTCAGGAATATGTAAAACCAACACCATTAGGATCCCTTCTACTACTAATTATTCCTCCCTCCAGAGCATAGTTGTGCTTCCTTCTACTTTCAACCTGTTGCCCAATAAAAAAGCCTATAGATACAGCCTCATATGTGAAATACTGGGAGACTACATTTCTATACAATTGTAATGTGTATTGATATGGTTTATAGGAAACCCTAACTTAAGAGAATAGGGTTGAACAAGAAGTTGTTGATTCTATATATAAGAGGAAAATAAAGATAAAAAAGAACTAGTCGACCAGGAAGTTGCCATGAAGGCTCTTGCATCAAACGTCTCTTCGGGAAGTACATTCTAGATCCAGCAATCACCTTCACAGCTAAATTATGGCCAATGTCTTTCTGAGTTTATTTTCATAGTACCAAGGAAACTGTGAAGAATGTGATCCTTGAACAAACTTCTGTCTTCTCTCTTAATAGGGGATGATGTTTTTAGTGTGTGTACATGTGTATATGTGTGTTCATGTGTGTACATGAATATGTGTATGTAGGTTAGAGGTCAGTGTCAGGGGTTCTCCCCAGTCACTTTCTACCTTAAATTTTTGAGACTGTATCTCTCACCGAACATAGAAACCACCAATTTGCTAAACTGACTGGCCAATAATTCCCATGGACCCTTGTTGTTTCCCAGCACCAGGATTGTGGACACATGCTGCTTGCACTGTTTTGTTGCTGTTTCTTTGGTGCTGGTTGACCAGTCTCGGGTCCTTATGCTTCCTCACCATCTCCTCAGCCCCAACAGTGATGTCTTAGTGCACACTTTCAGGTAGTCTGTAGTTTGGCTTAGATGATTCCTGGGTCTGGTGGATAGAGCCAGACACAGTCTTTGTTTCCACTCCCATATGACATCATCCCACATCCCAGCACACAGGCACAGTTCTTGAAAGAAAAGCATTCTAGAACTCAGAAGGGAAGGAGCACCATGAAATTATGGCTCCCACTTGCTGTGGGAAAGACAATCTTGAATTTAGGTTGACTCTCGATGGGTTCCACTCTTTCTTCCTGCCACTGTAGTTGAAAGTGCTACCATTGGCATCTCAAACCAAAGTAAACATGTGACATTAGCTTAAAAAACGGTCTCCTGTGCAAAGTGTTCAAGGTAAGTCATGCAAATTGCAAAGACTGGCCTGTATAACCAGGCCGGGTGATACTTTATGTACTGTGGGTGGGAAAACAAGGCCTCTACTCAGATGAATCCATTATCCCGCTATCAGCAAGGGGGGTTTGATGACGCTTGTCTTCTTTAAGGGATGGGACTTTGGAGACTCATGTGACTGGATGTATTGCCTTGCAACCAAATTGAGTGTTGTGTTTTCATTTGCAATTACTCCTTGCCAAGAAATATCAGTCCTTGCTTTTATCATGGAGTCCTGTATGAATTCTTTTCAGAATGTCTCAATGCCATCAAAACACAGAATTTTCCATGACTTCAAATCCAGTTTCTTCCACACAACTTACAACTTCAATTTTGGTTTCATTCCAAGCAACTTTCTGCAAAACAAAGTGTCTTCCTTACATGTCTTTTAGAGAACATCTCATCTCTTTGGTTTGAAGTAACTTTTAAAAAGCAATAGTATGTTTAGCCAATAAGACAACTTAAATGGGAAGGAGAAAAACTATCCATGGACTTACCTTAAAAACATACCCTACTGCTTCTCCCCAGCTCTTTTAAACAATAAAGTGTTCTTTACATTAATGATGTAGTAACAGGGACACATAACTTAAGTATACTACTACTATTACTGCTACTACTACTACTTCTACTACTACTCTACTACTACTACTACTACCATTATTGATGTTCTGTCAATGAGATATGTTCCCCCTATCCCTTGCATAAATGTATGAATTTTTCTTTATAATAGCATACAGCATTTTAAGTATATTTTGTATTTTGGGAGTCATGGCTTTGTTCTTGGGATTGAACCCAAATCCTTGTACATGTCAGCCTGGTATTCTCCTTGGGAGACACACCCCCAGTTGGATATGATTCCTTTTAATATTTCCATCATATTCCACTCACCAACTGCAATAATACAAATTTGAGGCTAGAGATGTAGTTCAGTTGGTCGAGTGCTTGCCTAGATGTACAAAGCCCTGGCTTGGATTCTCAGGACTGAATAAATCCAGTGTGGATGTTCTTGTCTATAATTTCAGCACTTAGGAGGTGAAGGCAGGAAGATCAGAAATTCAAGGTAATACTTAACAATATATCCAGTTTGAGGCCACCCTGTCCTATATGGAACCATATCTCAAGAAATAAAAGATTCTAGTAAATCGGAGCATTTGCTTTTAATATAATTTTGTATATAACACATAAAGCTAATAATAATTAGAAATTGTGCTAAAAATGTCACCTAGGAAAAATCATCTTCTTTTCCCATCCAGCACATTTTTAACACCCATCCCACTCTAGATATGGTGCTATATATTGGCATCATCTGAGAAACACGGCAGACATGTTTCCTGAATGACATAGTTTATATTATTTATAGTGGGCATATTGTAGGGAAGAATCCTTTCTTGTTTCCACTGGAAAAAGTCAACTTGAAACTCATCTCTAATAAATTTGAAAACTCAGAGTGAAATCTAAACAAACAAACAAAAAAGCAATGCCAAAATGTTAACTGTCTATTGAATATTGTATAATAATCTCTCAACTGAAGTCTGGAGAAACAAAAACTTTCCTAACAATAGCTCTAGGATGACCACTGTCTTCAACGGCCTAGGCCTTTGAGCATTCCTACCAAGTATGGAGGTGCAAGTCACAGTGAGCCCCTGAACCCACTGCTCTGCATCTGTGTGCGGAATTTGTAGACTCTAAGCAAATACTGTACCATTGTATATCGGGGCTTGACTATCACAGCTTCTGACAACCACAATGGATCTTGACACATTACCCTCACCATGAATGATCAACTGTCAAAGTAGAGAGCCTCTTTTCCCACTAGTCAGGTGCTTCCCAGGGGTGATGGGGCCGATAGCACTAATGGGCCTTATTTTCTTGTATCAGGGTCCCTGTGGGTGGAAAGGATGGCTGGAACACACTGTTGCATGTGGCCCAGCTGTGGTCAGCTCTCTACTTGCTCACATGCTATCTTAGGTTAAAACCTTAGGCCAGAATACTCGTAACACCTTACAAAACTACATGTTCCAGTCCCTAATTCTCTGAGTCTGTCTCACCTCCCTGTCTCTTTCCCACAATCTTTCATGTAAAACTCTGTAATGGGTGCACACAGTAAATTATCCTGAGAAGCCAGGTAATGCTGACATTAATCCTTTGCATGCTCTGAAAGCAGCCTGTCTACCCCAAGTCATTATGCTACACACATGACTTGATTTTAATTAATACAAACCAGAAGCTCAGAAAGTAAGCTCTTAAGCCAGTTTCATCCACCAACCTCAGAATAATAACAGAATCCTTCCAGGCTCTGTAGGGAAATTAGATACCAGCCTTCAAATGTTCCATTAAGAGAACAGGACAAATGACTGAAGTGTCATGTTTAACTTCCATGTGTTTTCCTCTACAACAACAAAGAGGAATGAACAGTGCACACTCAGATGAACAGAAGTAGTTTCATACAGGGCCTGCTCTTTTTCCAAAGAGCTATAGATAAGCCAGTATGGGTGGGCTGTTCCCTCAATGAAGAATACTAGGAACAAATACAGGGTACCATGACTCAATTCTTTACTTCAGTAGTGTAGTAACCTACTGCCTATAAATCATCCCAAACTCAAACTACAAAGGACTCTGAAGAAATTTTGGGGTCTACTGAAATTAACCGTTTTGATGAATTTTTCATCAGCCTGTTTTTTTTCCCTGCAACTGGCCAGGAGACACTTCATCCACATCTGCTGAAGAAACTTCTAAGTTTGTTAAAAAAAATACACTGATCTATATTAGAGGTCAGTGAATGAAGCCCAGTCTGGCTTGTTAGCTCTTTTTGTATTCATTAGTACATATTAGGACACACTTTTCATAACAAACAATTCTACATTAAATGTTTATTATATCTTTACAGGAAGAGTATGCTGCCCTATAATTCAATAGCCACTTGACTGAAAGATAAGAGCAATAAAATGCAATAACTATACACAGAAAATCTTGAAATGTTGTTGAAAGAAACTAAGGAAGACCTCAATATGTGGAAAGGCTGATAATAGTATTAATATTTTGGTTTTTTCCTCTGAATTAACCACAGTGCCCAAATTTACCACAGACTTCAAGCTTCCTGCCTTTAATACAGTCAAGTGGATATATGAGTCAAGGGCCATCTCGGTGTACATAGCAAGTTTTAGCCAAGCCAGAGCTATGTAGTGATAACTTGTCTAAAAAGGAAAAAAAAATTCAGCTGTCTACCTTCTCCATACCCTCTCACCACTCTTGTCATCCTTATGGAAAGTGAAAGGTGAGCTCTAAACTGCATGTAATAATTCCAGACTTAACTAAAATATATTGAGGGAAGATCACTTCTGGAGACCTCAGCCTACATCGTGTCAAGTTTTACAACAAAGCTATAGTAATTGTGATGATACTGTTTTGTCAGGATCTCATCTATGTCTATTATTTACAAAAAAGGAACTTAAGATTTGTGTTGTTGGAGGAATTAACAGAGATCAGTTAAAATATGGTGGGTATAAAATGAAAATTCAAGTTTAACTGACAAGAGCCCTTATGATTGAATAAAACTTTCCCTAAATGTAGAGACAATAATAACATCTAAATTGCATACACACACACACACACACACACACACACACACACACACACACCACAGAATGGGGGAGGGGGAGAGGGATATATGTGTGTGTGTGTGTGTGTGTGTGTGTGTGTGTGTGTGTGTTAACTGGTGCATGCATACATAGACATATGGAGAGAGCTTGAGATTCACATCAAGGCACTTAGAATATCACCTCTTCGTGTCTTTAAACATTACCTCATAGTCAGTCACCACAAGGAGATCTTTGATGTTACTCTTAGGAGCTGGAACTGGTGGAAATAACCTGATCCATATGTGACACCTGAAAACATCAAAGGAATTGGGTGAGCATATACAGTCCTCTTGCCTAGATTTCTACTCCTACATTGACAGAGTTAGTTCCATGTGTAACTGTGTTGGTTAAGATTGTTAAACATCTTCATCATTGAAAACCTTGGAATGCTTCCAGCCTGAGATGTGGCTTCTGAGATCTCCAGGGAAGAGGAAGTTCTGTTTCACATTGGGCTTATTGCCAGGCCTGACTTCTGAAGATAGGTCAGCAGCATCCTTTTTTTTTCCTGTTTCTCATTCACTGTTCATTCTAGCTTTCCTCCTTCAACTGTGCCAAGTTCACAGTTCCTTCTCATCTCTCCTCCTTTGAACTGCTGCCCATCACCCACAGGCATCTAATATAACATGTTAATGAGTAATGCCTTTTAATATGGAAGTTATTTCCCAAGGTTTTAAGCTAAAACAAAGCATTTCCTTAGTAATTGAGAGGGAGAGAGAAAGAGAGAGAGGGATGCAGTCATTTGCAAGGTGGGATATGAGATCTGTGTATGCTTTAGAGAATCTGCATTTGACCCAAGGACAACCACTCTGGACTGGTAAGTGAAAGCCAGGCAGAGGTCACCGGTGACCACTGAGACCCATATGTGAAGGCAGTGTGGTGACTTCAGACTTGGGTGGACTGCTGTCTTTTTATAGGAGATGTCAAAAAATGAGGAAGTATGTGAAGGAAAAGAACACAGTGGCAAAAACCTCTATAAAAATTAAAATATTGTCAACCAATTTGAGGAGTGTGTAGTGGCTGAGGATTGTGCTGTGTCCTGTTTAGCTTCTGTATGCTATGTTTTATTTCAACCTGAAACAGCATGCTGCAAATTCCATCTGATAATAAGCCATGTGTAAGGACTGCAAAGTCAGCCCTTGGGTATAAAGAATACCTACACTCTGCAGATGAATGAGAAAATTAATAAGACGAAGCAGGCGGTTGCTGGAAACACAATGAAATGCCATTCTGCCAAGGGCTTCTTCTCCTTTCCTGGTGAGAGGAAGAGAAAGCGAAAGCAAAGTCAGAACCAGGGAAAATGATCAAAATGATAAGGATGGAGCATCCGAGGGATTAGGTTTGAGTTGAAGTTGCTGGGTGGTGCTAAGCAAGGGGTTAAAACCCATCTCACAAAGTTGTTATGAAGAGGAAGAGAAACCATGGCAGTGAGGCTTTTTAATTATTATTAATTTAAGCAGGATTAATCTAGCCAATCAGCCAGTGTTTTAGAGTTCACCTCTACCCTGAACCATCCGGATACTGGCACATAGAGGTTCAGATGAGTAGTAGGATCTTAGGTGGTAAAGCTACAACAGCATAAGGCTACTCAATAACCTCATTAGAGTACAGTGAAATTTTTTTACCTACTTGGCAATGAAACTTCTGGAGGAAGTATGAGAAAATATTCAGTTAGCAATGCAGAAGTCAGAATCCTCAGTGAACACTTTATGGCTGTGAGGACAGCACCTTTTACCCTTATCCCTATTCCACAGATCAGGAAGTAAAGGCTGTCATTGTCAGCACAGGAAGTTTTCTGCATATCATCCTATACTCTGATTTGTGCCTATTCTATAGTCTGGGGATTCTTCTCTGGGCTTTAAAAACTACATAAGACTGTGAGAATGTGGGGGTGTGGTGTGGTGTTGTTTGTCTGTTTGATTTTAGGAATGTACTCCTGAAAAATCAAAGATCCCTGACTACATGGTGCTGGGAGAGTGGTGTTCTTGCTAAGCTGCCTTACTCACTTCCAGAAAACAAAAGCAAATCCTGAGTTATAGTCAGTCTCTTTCCTAGGAGAAGAGATGACTGACTCATCCATACATACATACATACATCCGTTTGTTCATTCATACATTCATTCATACATTTAGCAAGTGTCTGTTAGGCTCTTGTCAGGTATACTATAACACAATGGTTAAGAGAGTCTATTTGACACCTCCCATCTTGCACTTTCAAGTTCATCAGGGGAAATCGTCAGAGAGCAAATAATGACTCGGGTCATGATCTGATGATAGCTGTACTATGGTGAGGTTCAAACAATGCTACACTGTGATAAAAAACATTTCTGATGGGGGAAGTCCTTCTATGTATATGTTTGTCTTACTGGTTGATAAATAAAGCACTGTTGGCCAATAGGGAAGCAAGACAGGTGGAGCTAGGAGCTAAAGAGGAGTCTGGGAAATGTAGTCAAGAGTGGAGAGTCACCATGTGATCCCTAAAGGAGAAGACACACGAGCCTGGTGTTCTTGGTAAGACAAGACCTTATAGAAATATATATATATATATATATAAGTAGTTATAAGTTAATACTTAAGACTGAACTAGCCAATGATAAGCCCTGAACACTGGCCAACAGCATTGTAACAAATAGAATCTCCGTGTGTTATTTTGGGGACTAAAGCAGCGATGGGACCCAGACAGGAATGCTGTAACACATTTCAAACCTCAGTTTGCTATAATTTCTTCATTCAAATCCCACAAACTGTTCAGAATCATAGGAGAGAGCTGTCTGGGATTAATGCTAATAGTTCTTGCTTCTCCCCATCTCTTCCCTATTACCTTCTCAGCATCCTTGGTCAGGTTTCTTCTCTACCTTCCCAAAGCTTTCCTTCATCTCTTCCTTTCTGCTTTCAAATATGCATAGAGTCCTTTATCTTAACTAAACCATGAGCCTGCTCAGCCACCTTCCACAGTTATCATCAAATACTTACTTCTCTTACTGTGCAGGCTGGTGTCTTAAATTAAGGTTCCATCTTCTGTATTGCTATATCTCAGAAACTACTTTTAAAGTCACTGGGAACGTCTTCCTAGAAAACCCAAAAGACCCTTTGTTTCCTGCCTGACATGATGTCTTCTGATCTTGCCCCAAATTTCTTCTTTTCCTTTAGTGTAATTTTTGTTGCAGGGTCTCATGTACCCCTAGACTGGCCTCAAACTCAATATTTAGTGGAAGATGAGCGTGAACTTCTGGTCTTCCTGCCTCCACTTCCTTAGTGCTCTACCACACCCAGTTTATGTTGTGCTAGGGATCAAATCCATTGCTTTGTGCATGCTAAGCAAGCACTCCATTATATCTATTCCTATCATATCTGTCCCATTGCCATCTCATTTTGAATTCAAACTGTTCACAGATGAGTTAAGAGAAGCCAGGGCTCTTTACTGAGATGGTCTCATTCTTCTACAGCATTTTCTTCTTTTAAAATTGCAGCTGGACCCCTTTCAATGCATCCCTTGACTATTTCCCATTTCAGTCTGTTCTATGAGCACTGAAAATTTGTTTGTCAGACCTACATATTTTAATTCCACAAAACTCACTAAGTCGTTTCCTTTTCTTGCCACTGCCCTTACATGTAGCTCTAGGTATAGATTATTAAATCACCATAAACCAAACTCACTTGGGTCTTTTGCAAACCTGAGAATAGTGACAACTAAATTTGCGTCCTTTATTTCATCAAACCTATTCTCAGCCAGGTGTGATGCCACATGAATGTAATCTCAGAGTTTTAATGACCAAGGTACAACAAGAATAGTGAGTTAGAGACACTCCACCCACGGGAAGTAGTGAGAGCCTGCCTCCAAACAAACAAAGGAAATGAAAACACACAATCAAAAATTGCTTCTTTCACCAGCTTCTGCATTTCAGTCTCTGCCCTTCCAAGACCCAAAACCGAAACCTTGGAGATATATAGATTGTTTCCAATTTTCATAGCTCCTGTTTCTTCTTTGCACCCTTAGTATATACATGAGCTCTAGGCACAGTCATAAATGTGAGGCTCCATGCTTCTGACTCCTGTATCTATCCTTCTACAGTCTGGAGACGTGGGTTCCAAACCCAGCTTTCAGTGAAACAAGACATTTTGGGGCTGGGCAGTCTCACCTCAAACCAAGTTAAAATTCAGGGTCCTTAAAATCCCTCTCCCACACAGACAAACTTTTTACTGGTAGCAATTTTTCTACCCAGAGCACCATCACTTCAGTACATACCCTTTAGACAAACTAATTTTACAAAAGTAGTATTTTTTACTGCTAATAGCATGAAAGTTATATAGTACAAAAAATATCAAAGTCATCACTCACAAGGATTAACTAAAACTTATTCTTTACCGATATTTTAAAGGTACTTGTTTTAAATGGCTAGGCACAGTGTTCACCTTTAATTTGCTTCCAAAAGCCACTGTGCAGAAGGAAAAACTGAAGTAGAGAAAGACAGAGAGGTCACCAGAGGACACACAGCTGTCAGGGAAACTGGAAACAAAGCCTAGGATGGCTAATGACTGCATCTCTAAACACAATGGAGGGTTCCAAGTTAATTCCTCTCCCTCTATAAAATTGAGGATGTGCTATGTGTGTTGGGGCTTTACTTAGTGTATTCTGGGTGTCTCTTTACTTAATGTACACTATGCATTTATTTTGTTAATGTATTCTAGGTATTTCTTTGAGATCAAGAGCCACCTTCTCAACACCTGCAACATTGTTGCTGTATCTGCTTCACTGTAGTTAAAGCTTGTTTTGTGTTTTGATACATATATTTATAAGTTGTGGTTGGCTGCTCTGCAAACTTCCAGTGCCCGTGATAGTCCCAGGCTACAGATGAATCACTTTATTAAAACCCTAAGCTAGGACTGGAGAGATGGTTGGGCAATTAAAAGCTTATACTGCTTTTGCAGAGGACTGGAGTTTCTTCCCAACACCCACATTAGGCTATGTAGAAATGTCTGTGGTGTGGCTCTGGCTCCATGTGATCTGATACCTTCTAGCCACTGAAGGTACCACACACATAAGCACACACTCAGACACATCCGCATACATCTACATAAAAAAAATTTAAATCCCAAGTCTATCTTTTCTTTTTTATGTGTGTGTGTCTGCTATAAGCAGAAATTAGCACACCCTGGAATGGCAAGAGGTACCTGTCACCCTAACATTTGTGAGGCAGAGGCAGGAAGATAATCACAAGTCAGAAGCCAGCATGTTCTACAAAGTAAGTTCCAGGCAAGTCAGGGCTGCATAGTATGATACTGTTTGTTGTTGTTTGTTTTTTGTCTCCTTCAAAATAAAAAAGTCATTGAAAGTCATTAACCATGCTCTCCATTTTTTCATAACTATGTTATGAAGACACACAGTAAAACTTTGAGTACTGTGAAAAGAACAAAAAGTGTTGTAAATATTATCACAGTCACACACTCAATAATTTGTGACTCAAATTGTACAACACCCTCTGATCTGATATGCCCAGTCCTGATAACAGTAACGTTGTCTTCTGACAATGATTGCGAAAATCCTTTCAGTTAGACCACTGGTTTAATCCCCTTACCTCTTCCTTAGATAAGTGAAAATTACCAGTGATTGAGCAAAAATCAGGGAGGCAACTGATTGTATTTCATCCAACTAACAAAGAAAGTTCTCACTACATGGTAATGACTATTTATGAAGCAGGGCCATGGGCAGTGCTTGAAAAGTGTTAACCTGGCTTTCCAGACTCCCCTCTGTATCACCATGTGAAGAGTAGAACTCCTGTTCAAGGCCACAGCATTGTGAACTTCACCTCGAAGAAAAGATGTTGACAGGGGAATCCAGGGTGAGAAAGCATGTTCACACACTGTTGAGTAAAACATGACCTGTAAATTACCAGCAGTGCAGTTATTTAAATTTTTTTCTACTTCTTTTCAACCTGTGTTTCTTTTATGATGGAAGGTTGTAGGTACCAAGGCACATGGGTTCAGATCACAGGACAACTTGTAGGAGTCGGTGCTCCCTCTCCTTATGCCATGTAGGTCTCAGGGATTGAACCAGATCATAGGCATGGCAGCAAGCTCCTTACCTACTGAGCTATCTCACCAGCTGTTTTGCTGTTTTATCAGAGAGAGAGAGAGACAGAGACAGAGACACAGAGAGAGACAGAGACACAGAGACACAGAGAGAGACAGAGACAGAGACACAGAGAGAGACAGAGACACAGAGACACAGAGAGAGACAGAGACAGAGACACAGAG